CGTAGAAGTCGGTGTCGGTGGCGTGAAGGGAAAATCATGATTGGTAGATGTGGTTATGACGTCGCAGCCACATGGCGTCGCGCGGGATTTTCACACGATGCTCGTGTAAATTGTGGCATCACGAATGGAGTGGAAGTGATTAAAAAACATGACCTGTAATGTGAATTTAAGTTCCCGGCATGTCTCAAATTATTTCAATTGCAAAGTAATTTGCTTCAAAGAAAAATTTGAATTTTAGGCGGGATTCGAACCCACGACCTTTCGGTTGCGAGCCAGACACGCTACTGACACCGCCGCACTTCCTGCTCGCTGGCAGAAGCGAATGAGAAGGTGATGCGAACGGGGCCCGATAACGCCATCGCGTTCCACTCTTAAGAAAGTGCAATACCTCTATTTATTCCTCCGTTTTGGCACCAGATGGCGTGGTTAAAACGTGCGACTTCTTGATGGCGCCATTATTGAAGTGTGAAAAAGCCCGCGTTATCCGCTGCGGATAACGCGGGCCTTTTCACCATCCTTCGCCGAGCAGCGTGGACGGCGAGCTTTGCACAGTCGCGTCTTGAGGACCACCTTCATTACTCTCACAAATGAAAACCTCCGGGTTGGAACAGAATGGCTTGATCTCACCAGAAACCTCGGCATACTAAGTTTCCACAGACGGTCGCTTACAAGTATTCTCTATGTGGGACTTCCAAAGCTTTTGCTTGCATTGGGAGCCTGCTTTCGACCCATGACGCCGTAGGCGAACGCAACACTTCTGAGCGACACAAATTCAAATGCACAAAACGCGAAGTGCAGCTGCACTGAAGTGAAGTGCGCCTGCTCTTGCCCGCGTGAAAGAGAATCGCGTGAATACAAAGAAAATGTGTGCACCAAGCTACATGGCGAAACAACTTGATCTCTCGTCCTTATTAGTCCTTGCGGACAGAGACTACCATATAGAGGGAGAACAAAATGCAAAACACACCAAAATTAGTTGAAAAATTGCTTTCGGAAATATTGCCGTAGTTCCGATACGGATTAACCTACACTAATTATTTCTCTACCAATCGATTCCGTGTTAAACTTTATAGGAAATGATGCGAACACAAATGTTTTTTTTTTAATTAGTAGATTATGTAAAACGTTGAACCCAAAAGTGTCAAAACAGCTGTGTTTAGTCGGTTACACAATTTTAAAAAAAATATATGCTCTAAATATTGAGATATGATTTGCAGCGATGCACCAATTAAGTATTAATCTCTTTATCGTAAAAGTTTCAAACAAGTACAAAGAGCAGTTCTCGTGTAGGAATTTTTCAAAAACGTCAAAAATCTACATGTATTCTTTATGGTGTTTGTAGGTACTATGCCCTCTTAAAGGCGAAGCTTAGAGGAGCTGGGCAACGATTTTAATGTTGAAAGAATTTGCTTCTTGTATTTTCGACATTGTTTATCTTGTCACAAAGAACAGAAAATACACCTCTTTCCTTTGAAATGTTGCGATTCCGTTGCATCATTGCGAGGCAAAAATTTTAACATTTCTCTATCTGCAGCCCTGAGCAGTGGCCACAAGAACCACGTAATGCGACGTCAAAGGGGGACTTCTAAAAAAATTACAGGGCAGCAAATTGATGGTCGAGGCAAATTTGCAGAAACCACAGGGGTGACTATCTATGAACGAGATATCATTTATCGTTGTACACCGGCAAATTTAGCGGGCAAACTGAATTGGTGCATAGGTCGTAACGTCAATTTTCCTGCTAAATCTAGTGGGCAAACTCTGAATTTAGCATCATCCTCTAGGACGACGCTAAATCCTAGTTGTCCTGGAGATCACCCTAGAGGTCGTCCTAGACGTTGTTCTTAACTTCGCCCCAGATGTCTAGGACGACAACAAGGTTGCGAGGTCCTAAGAGGATGCGAATGAGAAGGAGTGCATATTTCCGCTTCACATACGAGCGGCACAATGGGGTGCGAGCAGCGAGCTGGAATGATCTACCGCTCATACCTACTGCGCATTAGGAGGCCAGAATATACATAGCTGAAAATCTTTTGTAGCATAATATCCTATCGCATTAAAAATAGCAAGTTGTGCAGCTACCTGCTTAATAAAGGGCAATTTTTCTATAAGTCTTGTTGTTCCAACATAAATATAAATCGTCAAAAACTCTATCACTGACAAAATTTGTATTATATGGAGTTTCAGTGGCACCATCTATCCAAGGCCAACAAAACCGTCGGCTCTATCTGCTACCACAAGGAGCCGGCAGAAGCCGGACGGCCGGATGGACACACGAAACAGCCAAAGAATTTCTACGAGCTTTGAAAATTGGACAAGCAGGAGAATTACCACTCTTCGCAGTCGTGAAGATAGGAGAAAAACCGTTTGTTTACGCTGCCAGGAAAAGTTTATTAGTGTTGTCGAGAGCAACTCGAGTCAGAGTACTTCATTTATTTTTCCTTCACCAGAAAAAGAGAATCTGCATAAAAATTGTCCAAGTACTGCTGGGAAGCAGCCTTAAAGAGTACACAAATCTGGGCAGAAGCCATTTTTCGCTAAGCATTTGCCAAATGTACACCTTGCATTGAAGCCTGACTAGCAGCTTGAAGACTCAGCTTTCAATTGTGCATAATCACATACTTATAATGCAGGTGATGTCTTAAAGTACCCATCTCAGAGTTCCGGCAGGCAAACAATGCAGGCCTATAAGGCGGACCATGTCGCTGCCGACAACATGCATATCTTTGATGGAGAGGCACGACTGCACATGCGTGATTGGTCATGTGCCACCGGGGCTGCAAATGCACGTGACTTGGAAGATGGTGAAGGAGTTGAGACATGCCGAAAACCTCAACCTTTGTCATTTTAAAAAAAATAAAAACTGGGACGTGCAGGCAAAAGCATTTCTTGTTCTCTACTTCAGAAGGGTCGAGACACCAACTCCCATAATTATTTAAGCAGAGCAGTGAAATTGTTGCACACCTCCTTTAAGCATCCTCTAAGTTTTGATAAAACCAGCTCTGGGGTCGATTTTCAGGGTTTATCCACATTTACCGAAAACATGGAATCCTACTTGTAAACCTAACATCTGTCAGTCGACAATTTTATCCTGAAATCTTTTATTTCAAGTGCTTTTTTTTATTCTTCGTGGTTGGTAATAAACCCTGTATATTGAAACGAAGACTGTTCTGAAAGCAGACCTCAACAAGAAGGTTTTGGCAATTTTCTTTCCTGTAAATAGGAAAAAAACGGTCTCTTTTTAGAGTTTTTTTTTTTCTCGAAAACCTAACCTTGCAAGATTACATATGTTTGACAATAACTTGACGAATAGTGGAGGCTGTGGGCCCCCCCGATCCAATGAGAGCATCCAGAGCAAGACACATGACAACACCCTATAGTCGAGGTCACAGAGACCTCATTAGTGCCACAGCAAAAGCGCCGTCCGCAACAAAAAGTAGTTCTAGGCTTCTTTTTCTTCTAGTTGTGTCAGACTCCTCTGACCGCAGCATGACACAACATTAAAGACGGACGACGACATGTTACCCTTCAACAATACTTAAAGGAGCTGTGCAACAATTTCAGGGCTTTGCTTAAATTATTGTGGAAGTCGATGCCCGACACTTCTGAAGTGAACTACAGAAAACAGATTTTGCCTGGATACCCTAGCTTTTATTTACAAAAATGAAAAAGACGCAGGTTTTCGCCGCCTCTCAACTTGTACGTCGTCTTCCGGGTCACATGCGCAGTGACGTTGAGGGGGTAGGCGCAGAAAAGTTCTCTCTTTAGAGCCATCAGTGAGTGGCAAGAACTCATCCACTCGGGACCGCATGACCACGTCCTGGCAGGTGCCGTGCAAACAATCTGGTGAAAAGAGGAAAGTCTCATCTGGGTCCGGCCAGAGCCTTTTATACTGGGTCCGGCCATAGCCCGTCCGGCCCTGTCCCCCTCCCCCTTTGGCTTCTGGTGGCTGTTCGCGGTAGCAGAGAGAGCCGACGGTTTTGTGGACCTAGGATAGATGGCGCCACTAAACTCCGTATAATAAGTTTTGTCAATGGTACCAGGTTTTTGACGCATTTATATATACTATGTTGGAACGACAAGATTTGTAGAAAAGTTACCTTTCATCGAGCAGGTATTCGCACAACTTGCTATCTTTTTACAAAATTCCCCTTTGACGTCACGCCGCGTGTTTCTCGTGGCCGCCGCTCGTGGCTGCGGGTCGGGGAATATTCCAAGTTTTGCCTCGCTATTACGCGGCAGAATCGCAACATTTCGATGAAAGGAGGTGTGTTTTCTGTCATTTGTGACGAGGTGAACAATATCAAAAGCAGAAGATGCCAATTCTTTCAATGTTAAAATCTTTGCACAGCTCCTTTAATACAGACCAATACTTTTCCAAGAACAATGTGGCTTTTGAACAATATTTGATTGATCGCGGCCGTGTAATCTACCACTTCCACTCAAAACATCCGCCTGGCATTAGAACCCGCCACAAATTCGAGTGTTCATCGAGCGTATGGTTGTCTCATGAACTGCTCCCGAACTGCTCGCTACTCTAGCGAACAGCAGTGTTGAGGCGCTGGACGGTACGAATCCAAAGTTGGTTCGTTTCGCAGCACATGACTCTTGGAGAGCAGACGACAGCCGGTTCCTCCGGGTTTCGCATTTGATGTAGTGACACGAACGCTCCCATGACATAGTGTCACACAGGGGCGGATGTTTTATTTAAAAGATTTTAAAAAAAAGGGGGAGGGGGTACAGAGAGCTCTTGCTGCACCTCTCATTGCATGTTGGATCTTTGTTCAAACACATGTATAAATAGTAGTGATAGGTCCCTACTAGTTAGAGGCCTATCTACTATTGGAGACCTATCCCCCCGCCCAGGATCCACCACTGGTGTCGCGCGCCTCGTTTGAACACTCTTAGTAGGTCGTGGGGGCTGTAGCCTCCACAGTTCGCCAAGTTATTGTGAAACGGAGTATAGTATGATAAATGCACCACCCAAAGAGACTTTTGTAAAAAGTTTTGATGCACTCCTCTGTTTATTGGTTTATTTATACAAATTCATTTACGTGCGAATATCGCTTGAGAACGCCATGCAGTGCGATAAAACGAGCAGGCCTTATTTCTTCTTCATAACTTTTCTCATGGCCTCAATCTCACGCTCTTCAGCAACGAGGTCTTTCTTGATGTCGGCCAGCATCTGCAGGAACTCTCTCGTCTGCTCCTGCAAAATATGCATTCAAACAACGGCCCTATTGACACCACAGTAGAACACGACTCTGCCTGGCAAAGATTGACCGCGCGCTGTACAGCAGTGCATCTTGACGAGAGACTCGTCAAGATCCATGATCCCAAACTGCAGAACATGCGCAAGGGATAAAATGAAACAAGATATCAAAATGGACGCACAAAGTAGCCATAGAATTTCTACAAGAGCTTTGAAAGTTGGACAAGTTGGAAAATTACCACTCCTCGCAGTTGTAAATATAGTTAGGGGAAAACTGTCTGTTTGCACTGTCAGAGAAAGTTGATCAGTGTTGCCAAGAGCAACTAAATATAAATATGATGGGGTCCGAGTACCGCATTTATTTTCCCTTCAACAGCAAGTTCGCGTTGAAGAGAATGTGCATAAAAAAGTGAAAGCTGCTTACAACTCCCTGTAACGCCGAATTAGAGCGCAGCTCTTGAGGAGGAGGAGGGAAGGGCACTGGGGGGGGGGGGGGTTAAACTAACCAGGGGGGGTCACGTGACCTTGGGGGGTCACGTGACCCCCAATGCCGATGATGTCATCACTGAGGTCACTGATGACGTCATCATTGACGATGACGATGCGGGTACCGATGACGTCATTAGTGGCGTCACTGATGACTTCACCAGTGATGATGACGATGCGAATGTCGGTGACGTCATCAGTGACGTCGCTGATGACGTCATCAGTGATGATGACGATGACGATGCGGATGTCGGTAACGTCATCAGTGATGATGACGATGACGATGCGGATGCCGGTGACGTCATCAGTGATGATGACGATGACGGTGCGGATGCCGGTGACGTCATCAGTGACGATGACGATGTGGATGCCGGTGACGACATCAGTGATGACGATGCGGATGCCGGTGACGTCATCAGTGACGATGACGATGACGGTGCGGATGCCGGTGACGACATCAGTGACGTCACTGATGACGTCATCAGTGATGATGACGATGACGATGCCGGTGACGTCATCAGTGATGATGACGATGACGATGTGGATGCCGGTGACGTCATCAGTGATGATGACGATGTGGATGCCGGTGACGTCATCGGTGATGACGTCATCAGTGATGATGACATCATCAGTGATGATGACGATGACGATGTGGATGCCGGTGACGTCATCAGTGACGATGACGTCATTGGGGTCACGCGACATCGGCGGGGGTCACGTGACCTCAGGGCAGTCACGTGACTTCGGGGGGTCACGTGCCCTCCACGAGGTCACGTGACCCCGGTGGGGGGCTCGCGCGGTGCATTATGGGACATTTCCCATGATGCACCGGGGTCACGTGACCTCGGGGGGGGGTCACCTGCCCCCCACGAGGTCACGTGACCCCGGTGGGGGCTCGCGCGGTGCATTATGGGACATTTTTAATGATGCACCGTGCGGTTACGCCGACGGCGACGGCGACGCCGCTCAAGCCGGAAACTGGCCCCTAAGAGCTGCACTCTAAAAATGAAATCCGTTTTCAACTCCCTGTAACGCCGAATTAGAGCACAGCTCTTGAGGAGGAGGAGGAGGGAAGGGTGCTGAGGAGAAGTATACCCCTCCTCACCCTGTCTGCTACCCCTCCCTCCGAGCGGCGATGGTGTCGCTGTCGGCGTAACCGTGAGGTCACGTGACCCTCGTGCCGTCGCGTGACCTCGCCTAGATCACGTGACGTCACCGGGGTCACGTGACGTCACCGGGGTCACGTGACCTCACCGGGGTCACGTGACCTCACCCTGACAGTGACGCCCCTCAAGCCGGAAACGGGCACGCAAGAGCTGCGCTTTAAAATTGTCCAAGTACTGCTGGGAAGCAGCCTTAAAGAGCACACAATTTTAGGCAGGAGCCATTTTTCAATTAGCATTTGCCAAATGTATACCATCCATTGAGGCCTGACTAGCTTGAAGTCTCAGCTTTCAATTGTGCATAATTGCACTCTTATAATGCACGTGATGTCTTAAAATACCAGTCTCAGAGTTCCGGCATGCAAATGATACAGGCCATAAGGTGAACCATGCTGCTGCCGACAACATGCATGCTTTTGAGGGAGAGGCACGACTGCACATGCGTGATTGGTCACGTGCTGCCATGGCACTGCTGCACACTGCTTAATCTCCTGCAAGAACAGTAGACATTTCCCCGAATACTTGAACACCACATGGCAGATATAAATGAACCATTAAAGGGATGCTGAACCAAAATCTGGATTCCCCAAAACACACGGCAAAAGCGTGCAACGGGATGCTACAAACACCAAAACATCACTCATACAGCGATATCTCGAACGGATGACCATATTTTTAAAAAAAAGAGGCGCATTTGGCAGGCATATTGACGTCATGTTTCACTGAGAAGGAGAGGGAACGGCCTCGAGTCTTCTCCGCCTCGCGGCCTTGAGGGAGCGAAGCGAAGAGAGGAGGCAACTAGGTATCTTGACGTCACGCGCCTCGTCGGCCTGGTTCAATCTCGACTTCTTTTTCCAAAAATACGGCCGTCCATTTGAGATATCGCCTTACTAGTAGTGTTGTAGGGATTGTAGCGTCCCGCCTATATCTCCAGTATTGTTTTTTTGGAATCCAAATTATGGTTCACCATCCCTTTAAGGTACAGTATAGACCACTTACAACGTAACCACTTATAGTGCAGGACCGGGTATAACGCGGCGTATAACACGGCGCACCCATAGAACTTTATGTAATTACATACTGCTTAAAATGCAGGCGTGTGAAGCGAAATACCGGTTATAGTGCGGTTTCTGGAGCAGCGCGCCGACTGACCCTCGCAGCGAGCACGCTTCCCTGCGCGACACTAGATGACTAGATAACGGCGCTAGCCGCAAGCGGCACTCGCGGGGCCAAGGATTGCAAGGAGGTTGCTCGAAGAATCGGGGAAAAGCGAAGAGAGAGGCTTCAGTTGCCATAGCGACGGAGGGACGCATGTACGTGTCGTTCAAGGCGCGGGGCGTTGGAGCCACGACCAAGAGTTGGTCGTGGTTGGAGCCAGCCCAACCAGCCGTTCGTGCGCGTTGCATGCCGGTCGCGGGCCGGCCAGGGCTGGCTTCTATCCGCAAACATTGCATCAATGGTAATCGTTGACGTCGACGGCGTAGTGGAAGCTTATTGTTCCGCGTAAAAGCGCCATCCTTGACTGTGATTTTTCGTTGTGTGTCGCTATGATAACCCAGCACGTACTAGAAGGGAAGATCCACCTACTCGTGCAGCGATCTCGTGGCGGCACTCTCAAGACAGCAGAAACGCCCGTGTCGTTGTGTTTGTTTACTTCGACTACAGTGGTGCTTTCTAAGCATTTGTGTTTTCGAACATCGCCCGGATTTCTTATTTGGAGCATTTCATGCGCGCATTTCATGCCTTTTTTGGAGCATTTCATGCGCGTACCGAATAAAGGATGCAAATTTTCATGAGTTTTCATCACCGGAGAAAAGTGATTAGGGTTAGCAATCCTGAACGCTCGTAACGTCCGTCCGCAACCCGCGACGCCGTTAAAAGGCTGTGCCAGGCAAAAGTCTCTCATTTCTTTCAAAATGCGTGACACACTTGAGAGAGAAGTGTACTAGTCTGGTGAAATAAAGACTTTCCTCAAACTAAGCTTTATTTTTCATCTAACATAAAATAAATTCTTTTACAAAGGTAAGTTGTCTGATGGCATGTATTTTGGCCTGAAAAATTGATGTTTTGGTTATAGCGCGGTACCGCTTAGAGTGTGAATTTTCCCGACTCCCGCGACATACGTTATATGCGGTCTACACTGTATAAAGGTAGCGCCCCTGCAGCGCGCTTGGGCACCACGGACGTTAGCCCTGGCAAACACCTGTGGTGTGCTATGAAAAATCTGGCATAAACCACGCATGAAGTGCGGTTTGTGCTAGTGTCTCACACGCCTGTGCGGCGCACAGGACACATTCTCTGTCTCTGTCAACATGATTGAGGAAATTTTTTTCTAAAGTAATTTGATTATTCTTTTTTATTGACATGAGCAGGATTCAAAGTATCAAGGGTTACCGACTCGGAAGTGTCGGCGGATTTCCTTACCTTGGACAGCCTCTTGGTGTTTTCCATCCTCTTCTGGCAATTGTTTAGGCCGTCTTCATATTCTTTTTGTGCCTTTTCCAGGTCTCTCTTGGCACTCTCCAGGCTAGTGGAAGATACATTTTTAAGAACCGGGTGAAAACTCGGTAACTATAGAAATTAAAAAAAGTTTACATTAGACTACCATCACTTTCTATAGAGCAGGCAGGAGCTTTCAGCCCAAGAGCCATCAAGGATGCCAACAGAGTAAACAGTGAGTAAGGGGGATTTAATTGCACTGTAGAAAGGTTTACAGATGAGCCTTCTATACCTGTGTAAAAAGGAAGCAACCCATATTAATTCTCATTCAAATTCGGAATGCTGTAGTAAATAGGAACAATGACATGAAACACAATCGGTGCACAGCTATGCAGGCTATGGAGGTGGTGTTCAAAACGGTGAAACTCGCTGAACAGATTATATCTTTCCAATGTCTGAAAAAGAAAATTGAAACATTCAAAGATATTAAGGGGAGGCACCCTTGGAGGCTAAACTTTTTAAATATCTGCACTATTTCAAGGAAGTTGGCAGGGTATACTAGGCGTGCAAACTTGCGTTAATTCTGTGCCAAGTTACAGCCTCATTTCTCAAAAACGGAGCAACTAGTGGCACTGAGGAAAAAGACCATAGTTCAGAAACGGCACTAAAATGGCACAATTTTCCTGGAATGTAACGATGGGTGATGCTAATTGGTAGTAGGCTTGGAATAATTGTTATTGACATATGTAGTAGTGAAAAAATGAACTTTGAAGAATATCTTTTCTTCCCCTTCATTTTTACACTTACAAAATGCATTTTCTTTGTCAAAGCAATAATCTTGAAAGGGTATGTACATAGCCAAGAATTCTAGTAAATTTCACTAAAAACAACAGAAAAACTGCCTGGCAGGTATGCAGGCATCTCAGTCATCCAACAAGAGATTTAGAGCAATAAAGAAGAAATTGTCAAAACATAAAGCCGGGAAGGATGCATTTCAAGGGGGGACATTGGCTAGAGTGTCCCCCCTTTAAATTATAAGAACTATTCGAGGGATTGGAATGAAATTTGCAGGGGATATTTAACATCAGATGTAGGTGATTGTGCAAACGTTCAGTTTTTTAGGACTATTTTTCATTCCTGCATAAGAAGATGTGTCCCTCTTCGTTAAGAAATCTATTATATGCAAATGAAGCTATTAAACACTTTTTGCCTGCTTGGATATAAAGAGGGAGATGTGAGTCTTTGAGCTGTCTAGTTTTTATAACTCAAATGTAAATATTTCAGGAAGAGTTATCTCAAAATATGAGCTGCATATCTGTTCTATGTCAATGTTTGAAAACATAGTTCTTCCTCAATGAGGACTTCAACTTAAAACAAAATGAAGTTGATAGCCCAATTCTCCAGTGAATTTCAGCTCAGAAACATCTTGATTGTGGTATCAAAACAATTTTACCTTTAAACAAGATTCCTTCATATGAAATTTGCAGCAAAAAGTGTAACTGAGAAAAATGTGTTCAAACATTGAACTGCTTTACTTTGGTACTGCTTAACAATGTGTTGAAAATATTTTATATCATTGTAACTATTTGGCATATGGTTATCAAATTTAGTGTAAGGGTATATAATATATTGCCGCGTGCCAAGTAGGCACCGCGGCCGTAGCACAATGGTTATCGCGCTTACCTCCCAAGCGAAGGGCCAGGGTTCGATTCCTGGTCGCGGCTACGCATTTTTGTTTACACTGTAATGTGATGTTCTAGTGAATTCGAGAACCGTCTAGCTGATTCGAGGTTAGAATGTTCTCCGCGTCGAACCTTCTACATCGAACGCTCCAGAAGCCAACGCGTGTACAAAAGCGGCTCCACCTGGCAAGCAGGATTCAGTTTCGCCCCAGCGTTCGACTCTGCTGCCACGCCGACTTCGACGCCCGCGACGCTCTATTATTATCTTTTGTACTCTTTTATTTCTGGCACAAGTTCGCCACATTAAACGTTTATTTCTTCCTGTTTATTTGTTATTTTTGGTCACTACCCGTGACAATATTTCTCACACCGAAAACATCAAATTAAAAAAACGAGCCTTTTAGAATGAAACTTGAAATTTAGGCCCATGTCCCCCCCCCCCTTAAAAGAATACTGATACGAAATATGCATTTCCCAAACTAAGGCCGCAGAAGCGTTGAACGGGACGCTACAAACTCCAAGACATCACTCGTGCATCGATATCTCGAACGGATGACCGCACTTTTAAAAAAGAAGAGTGCGATCAAGCGAGGTCTATAACGTCATTGTCATCGTGCAGAATTTGACAGCGAGGGGAGGCGGCCTCTGTTCTTTCCTCGCTTCAGTTGACCAGCTCGACGGTACATAGTGAGGAGGAGAGGGAATGAGAATCGTGACGCGACTTGTCGGCCATGTTCAATAGCGCACTTCTTTTACAAAAATACGGCTTTTTGTTAGAAAAATCGCTGTATGAGTGATGTTTTGGAGTTTTGGAACGTCTTGCCTATCCATCCAGCCTTGTTTTGCGAGCTCAAAAATTTGTGTTTATCTTTAGATAGGGCGTGCCATTTCATCTGAAATGAGGCATAGGTCAATCCTTTCCCTGTACGGTCCTTCTGTGCTTGGGCAACAGTTTCCATCTTTCTTGTGGGACACCTTCGATGACTGGAGCGCTTTCACATGGGCCTTCGCAACCTTTACCTGGGTTCCCCTCTGTGCATACGACGCTTGGTGGCTCCCCGGCTGGACGCCCACTTCCGACAGACTTTCCATGATGCCTTGAGGCTCCGGGTTTAACTTGAGGACTGCAAGGGCCACGGCACGCTCCACAGTCCTGAGGGAAGCGAACTCCACCTTGAGGCACCTCTTCCACACTAAGGCATTGAAGCTTCCATTGGTGTTCCGAGTATTCCTCCGGGAACACCTCTTGAGCAGGTGCCTCCATGACAGGCGGTTGTATAGGGGTACCAGCTCTCTCGCAATCTCCCTGGAGAAGGCTCACTTGTGTGGCTGGGACGCAGGTGGTTCTCCCGCTGCCTCGGGGGCCTTGCTCCAATTGTAGCAACACTTGGAGTCCGTGCCTGTGGGGCATCCCATGTGCTTTGGCTCCTCGTCAGTGGAGTATGAGTGCAGAAGGGATGTGTTGGTCAGCTTCTTCGTATTGAGGTTTGTTAGCTTCCCTTTTTAGCAAAATCCCTCCATTGTCTTTTTCGGGGCTTCTGGGCCTGTATACGTGTTTTGCACCATGGTTGACACAGCCTTCCTTTTTTATCTCCTTGTCATAATGGTCGAGATTTGTTACCTTGGAAAAGACCTTGCTGGATCGCCATCACACAGCATGGTCGTATACTGCATACCGTGTTGCACCACTGAGCGTCAAAAATAAATTGTGGCTGCTTTTTTTTTATGGCAACTGGCTCTGCCAGTTGAGGCAGTGATCTTTCATTGACTTGTGTACCACTCTGTAGCTGGGTTTGGACCCCGGGTGCACAGCTGGCAGTAGTGACAGTGGACGCTGAAGTCAAGCACAAGATCACTCTTGAGTTCGATGGCGACACCAATACTGAAGAGAGACGTGTGGCCACGTGAATGCCAGGTTTCGTCGTACGTGACGCACATGTCTAGATGTTGCCTGTTGTTGGCCATCTCTGCTTTGCATACCAACTAGGCAGTGCTCATCACGTTGCTGGCAGCTGTGATAGCTGCATCGTCTACCTTCGTGGCAACTTTCTTAAAAATCTTCGGAGTCATTGGCAGCGGCAGATTTATGTCAGAAGGCTGGGGAGAGACTTCCTCTCCTCCCAGCTAAAAATTACTATTAGATCCAACTGGAACTCCAACTGGTTTTAATTGGAACCAATTGGTTTCGTGGTTCCAACTGGAAGCACACTGGCCAATGGGTCTCACCAATTAAAATCATTTTTCCAGTTGGAAATTGAATAGGTTCCAACTGGTTCCCATTGGTTCTTGTTGGCAATGATCAATTGGTCGTCCGAAAACCTTACTGGTACCAATGGGAAAATTACAGTTGGAACCTAATCGGAATTTTTAACTGGGCTCTCTTTCGTCCCTGCTGCTCTCCCTTTCTCCCCTCAGCCTCCATCGCCCTCCTCTCGTAACAAACTTCCTATAGTCCGTTGCAACTCAAGAAGGTAGGGCGAGGATAAGATGAGCCAGGGAGGATGAAGCAGATGGAATGCTGACCTTCTCTCTAGCGTCCCGTCTGCTTGCTCCTCCCTGGCCCGTCTTACCCTCGCCCTAACTTCTTGAGTTGCAACAGACTACAATGCTCGCCCTTTCTCTTCACCCGGCGTTGCCTTTGCCTGCACTGCACACAACTAGTGATCGAGTGTAGGCACCATGCAGTTAGACTAATGTCTCAAAGCGTCCCGGCTGGTGCCTGTGTCGTGCAATCATGTTCGCATACAGATAGGGCAACTTCGGCAGGCTTGCAGCTGCGCGTGCTTCGTCGCGCGAGCGAAGACAACAGCTGCCCGATCTAAACCGAAACCATGCCACTTTGCTCCATGTCACTGTCGAGCATACGAGAAAAAACAGTCCAGCTGCACGTGCATGCCAGGCCGGCAAACAAGGTACAAGCTAAACACACAAAAAAGAACCTGAGCGCATCGATGCAAGACATTGCGAGCCAGGGTAAAAAGTTCTTGGATCGCTTTGCGCAACGACTGAACTCGAGACAAACAAGCGCGCTGTGCGGGTTCAGCGTGCTTGCATTAGCTCACTTCTCTTCATCAACTTTCTCTTGCGGCTGATTTTTCACGTACCGGGGTACCTCTCGAAAGAAAACCCACCGAGAGAAACCTAGGTAATCAATACTTTGACACAACAGTCTTTCAGTTAAAGGGGGATTTTTTTAGTAACGTACGATTAAAACAAGAAAAGGAATGTTGATGAACATGCGGCAATACTTAGTTTCATTTAAGAATGCGCCATATCTGCAGCAATGTGGAGACGGCAAGACCCGACATCACGCGACCACAGTGACTGAAAGGCAGGTACCAAATATACAGTTTTCCCACGGCCGTTGCTTTCAGGAGCGAGTGCTTCAGCTCGCAAAGTAACCCCTGCCGCGCAAAAATGTGGTTTCGTTTCACAGCATGACGGCATGGCTGGTACCCGGCATGCTAGCGTTGGAGCGTCCGCACACACCCGCGTTTATCGTTGAAAATGTCTAAAAAAAGAAAGATGCGAGATAAGACCCACGACACGACGAGAACGCGGGAAAACCATGCAGGGTACTTTGTGTCAGGCGGCCGCTTGCGCCACATAACCCACGCATGCTCAATTACGGTACTCAGTTTAGCTTTGGTTTTGAAAGGCGACCAAAATTGGTTTTTTGGCGCCAGGTTTGGCGCAGATTACCCATATTTTGGCAGGATGTAGCAGGGTTAGCCCCTTGGTGCAGTTTGGCGCAATTGGCGCAGCAATCGCATCACTGCAATCCTTGCAACTCAAGAAACAATGTTGAGATGCAATCTTACAGGCTCTTTTTGTGGCCGACATCCTCCTCCTGCATTGCCTGGCGTGTCCTCTGCTGGGCGGAAAGTTCTGCAATCTCGGCCAAGGCTTTCTCATACTGCTCGTAGACTGCTTCCTGCTCGTCTCGGAGTTGCTGCACACAAAATTGCCCTCGCTCAACCTAGAGCCACCGAATAAACTAAGCTCCGAGTATCAGCCTTAACTCCCCAGTTATCTCGTGGGAGCCCCCCTTTTCAGCGCTTAGCACAGAGCGGGTGTAATTGATGATCGTTGAAACTGTGAAGATGAGATGCCTCGAGCGTTAGATACCATGTCGGGAGTTCAGACACTGTTTTGAATTGTGGCGGTCCTTTCTGAGACTCCTGAAAAACAGAAGGACGTTTCCAGCAATTTCAAGTAAAGCTTCAGAGAGCTGGCAACAATCATTTTGAAGCACCAAGATGGCTCGAGTGTCGTTACTCCGAAGCATGGCCTATTTATTGGCTAGTTCAACCAGTCCCCTTACGAGAATGCTGCAGGTTCTTGGATGTATGGTACCACACTTAGGCTTGCTCACAAATACAGCACCGCACTAATCCGGTGCCAATTCAGATCTCGAAACTTTACGTGCCCGAGACAATGAGAGACTCTTTACGTAGCCGTGACGTTGCTAGAATGTGTTGCAGTGCTTATGATTCTGGCAACTCGTTCCCGTTTTTGGATGAAGATGTTCGATGTGTGCAAAGAACGCCGTCAAAGTACCAAGCTTGACCCAATACTACAAATTTTGTTGTTTATCCGTTGTGACAGCGGACAAAAACAAAGTCTGCACCAGGTGCGCCTCTATGGTCCGTGTAGGATCTTGTAAAATTGATCTCGCTGCAGCGAACTACCCATGGGTATTGCAAGTTGCAAGAAGGAAATATTTGTAGTGAGGAAATAAACTTCAGCAATAAATTTGTTGCCAATTATGGCACTGCATTTGTGAACCGGCCTTTACACGACTATAATCCAACCTCTCCTAAAAGTATGGTCAGTCAGTTTCCCAAGGACACTACGCTCTACCGACATCGCCCAACTTTCAAGATATAAGAACATCTCGCAATAGGGAATTTTGCTCTGGACCCTTTTTTTCCGGTAACAAAATGTGCACACAGCAAAACATTTGCTCACCTTTACGACAGCTTCTGCACAGGCTTTGCTCTTCTCTGCTATCCTCTGGTCCGATCTGAGCTCCATAGTGATATTCTCTATGTCGAACTCGTACTGCAAAGAAAGTACACTAGACTAAGAAGCACACCTACTACAGTAAACCCCCGTTAACTTGAACACGGATATCTCGAAAGATAGGTTAAGTTGAAACTTTTGTGCATTGCGAAATGAATCCCCATTGGCCCCATGTATTTTGACATCGCTTATCTCGACAAGTTTCCGGGACGGGCATCGGATATCTCGAAACTTCGCCTGCAAAAATAAAAAAAAATATTCCTGAAAGGACGCTGAGGCCGAAGGAAAAAGTTTATCTCCATCGCAGACGAGGTGACCGTGACCTAAAAATAATGCTAACAAAGAGAGAGAGAAAGAGAGAGAGAGAGAGGGTCTTCGGAGAAAAATAAACAAAAGAATGAAGCGCCCGAGAAAAATAAACAAAACAAGGAAGCGCCGGAGAAAAATAAACAAAAGAAGGAAGTGCCGCGAACGCGTTCCGGGCACACAGAACGCGACGAGCGTTCAAGGACGTTTGTTTTCTTGCTTTTTGCTTTCTCCCCATCTCCCGGGACTTTTCTTTCTCCCTTTTTCTCTACGCTTGTGCTGGCTTGTGGCGGTCTGTCGGCTCTCCCGATCTCGTGGTCGCCGTAGTCGCCACGCCGCCAAGCCGTTGTCGCGTCGCCTTCGTTCAACCCCGTCCACATGGATGACGGCGGCGCTCTTTGAGGAATATGTGCGTGCGCTGGACCGCTGGACGCTTGTTTCCAATTCATTTTTTCTCGTTTTAGAAAGTGATTTCTTGCTTAAAACGAAGCTGTGATTGGTACGATTTTCGGAAGCGCTAGATTTTCAAAATCCGCGGTCGGTACTTCGGAAATTTCGGTACTCCGCTTATCTCGAAATTTCGCTTATCTCGAAATTTTTTCCCAGTTTTTATGACTTCGAGTTAACGGGGGTTTACTGTATACTCCACTTCACCTTAAGTGTGGGCACAGCAGATGCTGCAAGCCAATCCAAGGCCGTGTGAGCATCATGCAACCTTGGAGAAGGGGCACAGCGACGAGCGGCAACCGTACCACAAGCTACCTCCACGGAGCGGGATTGGCTAGGATAGCCTGTAGCGTCCGCCGCGTTCGGACGTATAGGGGAAACAGAGTATAATGCGAACTCTTCTAGGCTTTGTGTGCTTGTGTAGTGTAGCCCATTGGGCCGCATTGCAAGGATGGGTCAACAAGCCGAGAGAGAAAGCATGCAAACATTAAGCTGGCTGAAAACTGTAAAAAAGGAAAAGAAACAAAGATACTGAAATTTATATTTTTGTGCAAACATTCAAATATTTTAATAGTTGCAAATAATACGCTATTCGATGTTCGCTTTGAGATGAACCGAACACCGGTGCAGTGCAGAGAAACAACACCCGCGAAGCTCGCTTGCGTGGGTGTTGCCTCTCCGCAGTGTACTGGTGCTCGGTAACAAGCGCGCTCAACAGGGCAAACCCACAGCGATCAATGCTTCGAAAAGTACAAACATCGCAGTCGCGTGCTTAAAAAAAAAGCACACTTTAAAAGCGAAGTGGAGCATGAGCAGACCTAGTGTACTTAAAAAAGAAACCAACTTTGACTAGGGCTATTATGCAACAGTGGTGTCGCCCAGCTGTACTCATGAATGTTGCTCCCAAACTTCCACTTGCTCATTTCTAAACTCTGTTAATTTCAACATCACGTGTGATGCCATTATGGGAAACGTCCCATAACGCAACGCACAGTTATGCCGGAGGCGACGCTGCTCAACCCGGAAATTGGCGCCTAAGAACTGTGCTCTAAAAAGGGGGGATGTAGACCAGTGCTATTTTGTACCAAGAGTGCATAAGGAGAGGGAGCAATCCCTCAGCAGTCGTTCAGAGTCCAAAATCTGAAATCAACCAGACATTCAAACAGAGTGCACGGACGGTACACACCTTCTCAAAAAGCTCCTTTTCATTCTTGATGTGGGCACAGAGCTTCTCTTCCACCCGCGTCATCAGCTGCGAGAGCTGAGCAGACGCAGCCTCGTTGCAGGATTCCTGCTGCTGCAAGTCTTCTTCGGTGAACACTGGGCGCAGGTCAAAGTCCTGAAGCACTGCACTCTGCTGGCCCCGCAGAACACTGCTCACAGGCTTCTCAAGAAGCTTCAACACTCCTGCCCCATCCTCACGCAGATCTTGAAGCTGAAAGTAGGACATCTATCAACGTACAGTACAACCCACTGCCAAAAACCAGGGGTTATGTGCCTTTTATGGTTCCTTATAAGCAACGAACCCTCCTGTACTTGTATTGCATTGCACTCCAATTTAGAAAACAGGTTAAACAAGTACAGCAGCATCCTAAATAATATCAGGGTCACTTGGCTATATTTAGAAGATGTCACCTCGAGAGGTATACCTCGCCAGCAGATGACATGCAGTGTAAAGTGACACTTGCATGTCTAATGACCAGGGCAATGCGAAGGCACCAAATAACCCCCTCCTGCTGGTTCACGCTGGTAGGAAAGTGCTTCTACTACCCTAAAATGCCGAGCAAGCGCCCACTCAAAATATAAAGATAATCGCGAAAATTGGGGAATGGGTGCATGTTAGGTCATCTATTTTACCTATATATGTACTGTGCACATTTTTTCAGATGTTGCGAAATTTGGGGGTGGTTGCTTAGAATGGAATGGTCGGATATCGGTATCTTACGGTATGTCTAGCGGCTCACTCCTTTTTTTTCTTTCTCATTAGTCGTACAACAGAATAAACCATAGGCAAAAGTCCATGAAAAGGAGGATCAAACCTTCTCGTGCTCCTTCTTCCAGCCCATCTGCAGTTCGATGTGCTCTTCCTTCAGGGCTTCAATCTGGTTCCTCCTTCGCCTGATGTTGTCCTGCAGTTCGGACCTCTTTGCGTTCAAGGTCACCTCGTCCTCTTGCCTCTGAATTTGTTCCTGAAGCACCGACCGAAGCTCGCAGAGCTCGGCCTTCAACATCACTTTCTCCGCCTCTGTGAAGAATAAAAACGGGAAGGAGAGTAGGTTGTGCGGCAGCCTTTCCCCACCCCTCGACCAAATGACAATCGCCGCCGTTTGGTGGCAATTACACATTTGCAAGATCCTGCCTAAATGCAAAAACATGCACGCCCCAGGAGGTGCTACTTTCTGCTATGTCTTTAGAGAGCCATAAACATTGATATTAGCACCGTTTCGCTTTACTGGGGCTATTTATAGTTTCAAAATAGGACGCTTCGGGCTTGAGATGAGCGCACGATGGTCGCTTTGCATGTCAGCTGTTCTCACGGTAGCGACTACTGGAACAGCGGCTCTCCCAATAAGCCTTTCAAAATTGAATTCTGAGAACAAGAGCTCCTTGTCCGATGGAGAGGCTCTGTAACGTATGTTGGTTTGGAATCCGAGACCATTGAAATGTCACGGATGCAGATGCGTCAAAATTAAACCGAAATCGAAAAAAAGCGGCAACTTTTTGCTCTCAATGTTTCCATCTGATGCTTTTTCAATCTGGACAGCTTGCAACCACTGCACATACTTCCGCTAGATCATCTCAAAAAACCTGCGCATCGACGCTTTCTTTGTACTATCCCTTTGGACAAAAAGTCACCCTTTTGCCGTACTAGTGCGGCAAAGGCAGTGGTAACACAGAATCTGATGAGTTAGTGCAAACGTAGTGTGAACGAACTGCAGAAGTAGACGGCCGAGGATTAGCGTATGTGCCGCTGCGTGCGGCACTTGAGGAGGAATTTGATGCCACCACGAGATTGCAGCTTTCTTTAAAGTGAGTCGTCCGCTCGACTGAGGACCTGGAAGCACACTTGGAAGGCTCCGTGCGCACAACTGGCCTCGCAGCCCTGTGTCATGCACGGTTGGCACATGAATCCTCCGTTGCTGTTTTACTCGTGGGTGGCCATCATCTGCAGTGCCAATGTGAATGCGACCTCCTCAGAGCCTGCTGCAGTGCGAGACGCAGCAGACCGGCCGTGCGGAAAACAGAACAATTGGAATACGGCAGCACCGTAGAAAGCCTAGATCAGAGTTTCCGACGGCTCGATCGGGGTCACGTAAATCCTGTGCCGCGTGTGCAATACGAGCCACGAGGAGGCGGCTGAAGCGCCTCTTCGTGGCGTGGCTAAAGCGGCAATCGCCTGCGGGTCTCTCCGCCCGCTTTCCCATTCGCCATGCGATTCGTAGCACGTGCAGACTTGCAAGTAATCTCCGCGGAAGGTGGCGGCCATCACATTGCAAACGCTCCCCATTGGTTTGAGACAGGCCCTCTGTTCACTCTCCACTCTCTGCAGCACAGAGCAGACCCCTGGAGCCAGCTCGTGGCAGAAGAGAAAAAAACACTCAGATTATCTTGACCCGTTACGGCAGAAGGAGCAGTCTAATGTAGCGCAGGCTTTTCTGTCGCACTCTCCTACGCGCCCTTTCTCAGGGGAAGCCTGGAGCACGCACGTTTGACGGAGCAGAGAGCGCTGTAGGTCCAAACGCACAGTGTTTAACTCCCTCTGGGAGTGACACGGAGGCACTCTAGGAAGGGGTTCGGCTGACACTGGTGTCCAATCGGTGAGGAGACGAGCGCTGCATGAGCGATCGGCTGGCAGTCAGCATGTTGCCTTCCGTTGCAAGGAGGCTGACCCGATATGGTTAGAAGCCAGCCATGGAACAGATTCTGCATTAAACAACCACTGGGACACAATTTTTGGGAAGAAAAACGGTTGAGTGGAATGTTTAAACTTTAATATAGTCACGTAGGGTGCAATAATATCAAAGAATAAAATTGGAGAAAACAAAGCTAAAATGTCACGTTAGAAATCTGAGATACTCTTTGCCTACAATGTGGAAAAAAGTAAAAGCGAGAGCTGTAACACGCTCGCACACCTCTCGATCCTCACATCGCCATGTATGTGCGGGGCAGCCTCTTGTTGGTAGCCAGCGTGGGCGCAACGCCGGTCGCGAGCCGCGTAAACCAGTAGATTTCTTAGCGCTCACTCTTGGGACGGAATACAGACTTGGTGCGGCGACGCCGTGACAAAGAGTCTGCGGCAGTGACGACGCAAGCGAAGGCAGGTTTTCTCGGTGTTGTTGAACGATGAAGGGAGGAGATAACGTTGACGTCAACCTACTATTTAACCCGCTAACGCTAATCTGCTAACAGGTTAAACCAAAGTTTGACTACCAACGATAACCTGCTACTTGAAGCCGTCGCTTTAAGGGGGACACTGGCTAGAGGTCGAACTTCTTAACTACTCAAGTGATTGGAATGAAATTTAGAGAGGAGATTTAACATCAGATGTAGGTGTACTGTGCAAACTTTCAACTCTACAAAACAACTTTACATACTTGCATAAGATGTGTCACTCTTTGTTAAGAAATCTATGATATGCAAATGAAGCTATTAAGCACCATTTTGACTGCTAGAATATAAAGTAGGGGATGTGGCACTTCGGGCTATCTAGTTTTTATAACACAAATGTAAATATTTCAGGAAGAGTGAACACTTTCACCTTCGAACAAAAGATTCCTTCGTATGAAATTTGCAGCAAAAAGTGGAACTGAGAAAAATGCATTCAAACATTGAGCTCCTTTATTTTTTTACTGCCTCGCAACGTGTTGAAAATATTTTATATCAACGTAAATATTTGGCGTATGGTTATCAAATTTGGTGTAAGGGTGTATAATTAGTTTCTAAAACTGAAAACGTCAGTTGTCCAGGATACATACCGGAATCTGCGAGAGATTTAGAAGCCTCCTGTATGCCAGTCTTTGTTGCTTCGCAGTGCTGCATCATCTTTTCGAAATAGAGGTCATAGTTTTGTATCTTGGTACGAGTCTCTTTGAGCTCCATCTGGACTTCCTCGTACGTGGCCTGCAAAACAAGAAACAAAAGCTGTACAAGGAATTCTTCACATTTGCCACAAAAAGCAGCGTGAACAAAAAAGCACAGACAACTTGAGGCCACTAGCACTTTACAATAGTAGTCGCACTGTAATTACACCGTTCAGCACTGCTGAACTTTTTCTGTTGTTCAACAGGAGCAGCTTAACTATGCGCAGCTGATTTGGCTAAAGTTTCATTACTTACAAAACAATGAAGTATTAAAAAATGCTTATTCATCTGTAATACTTCGTTTGGGAATTTACGAAAGAGTAGAACATTTGTTTACTAAAAAAAGGTTTTTGGGAAAAATACTTGCTTTTTAATACAAGTCTCTGCACTATATCAGAACATATAAGTGCCTCTACCACTACACTAAGCACACTTACACTTTGCTTCACTATGTCCCTAGCTCTACAATATCTCTCGCTTTGTAGTGCCCACTACAAATTTTTCTATCAATTCATCATCTCACATCACGACTTCTGTGAAGTTCCGAGAGAATGTCCGCCCCCAAGAAATAGCCCATCGCGTTTCAGGCTAAATATCTGTAATATAAAAATTCCAAAACATTGCCAACCCCCCCCCCTCCCCCCTCCGATTCCTGTCGGACGTCATGCGACGTCCGACGGAATCAACCGCGCAATTCACAGTACCGGCATGTTTCATGAGCGAGTTTATAGCGGGTTCCCGCAGTTTTATCCGCGATCTGCATGCGCAATATTAGCTCCCGTAACACACTAGTTGTTCCCGCGTGTATGTTTCACCGTAAAATGCGAATCTGCTGCGGCCACAATCTGCGGTATCCATTCCCGTGACCTAAGGTTTGTAGCAGATTCCCGCATTTTTGTCCGTGATCTCGATTTCACATGAGTTGGTCCTGCGTGTATATTGCAACGTGAAATATGGTTCTGCTGCGTTCGCAATCTGCAATATTTGTTCCCATAACATACAAGTTTGTAACGAATTCCCGCGTTTTTGTCCGCAATCTGCGCACGCGATATCGGTTCCCGCGACAGGCAAGTTTCTAGTGGGTTCTATCGTGTTTATTGCACCCTAAAACTTGAATCTGCTGCGTCCGCGAGTTGAAGTATTCGTTTCCCGTAAGATGCAAGTTCTCGGCGGGTTTCCGCGGGTCCTCCACATTGTGAAACGCATATCTGCTGCACCTGCAACCTGCGGGGTCCTTTTCCGTGACACAAGAGTTCGTAGCAAATTCCTGCATGTTTATCGCATCGTGAAAGGCGGATTTGCGGTGTCCACAATCTGCTGTATAATTTCCCACGTCACGTGGTTTGTAGCCAGTGCCAGGGTGCTTATCATTAATTTTTGATACAGTTTTGCTTCGGCATCCCCAAAGATAGATCACCCCATGTTTCTCACCATTTATCTCTTTATTTTGGGTGGGCGTTCCTCGAAACTTTATGGTAGTAGACTATAATGAGGTCAAGCATCAATTCCCCAACCACATTATGACCCAAAAACTGAAAATTTCAAAAGTTAATTGAAGCTTTATTGCTTATTATCGATTTAAGAGACCCATTTCACCTCTCTTCTAATGGCCCCCAAGGCCCCCCACTAAGCCCCAGGGCACTGTAAGTTGAATAATTCACTAAAATCTGTAAACCTTTTAATTATTGGTTTTAGGGGTCATGTTGCAATTGCAGATATGAAGGTAATTACAATTGAGGCCAGGTCCATTAAAAGAATTTTTTTTTGTTTTATTAGTTATTGAGATATTAGTCAATCAAATTTTATGTTTATAGCCAAACATAAAGACTGTGGACAAAAACCCCTCTGCAAGCACTGCACACAATGATGCTCAGAACAGTGAGTATGTCCCTCCATCATTGTGGGGCAGGGTTTGCAGCATGTTTTTTTTTGTGCAATTTCCAGAAAAAGGTAAGAAACATGAAGATTGATAAATTAATATCCTAAACATGATAAACTTTTACAAATTCTTTGAATTGGTCTGGCCTCTAATAGCAATTTCTGCCAATACCACAATTGCAACATGACCCAGAAAAGCCGTAATTAAATAATTAAAAAATCACAGATTTAAGTTAATTAGCCAACTTACCATGACGATTATTCTCTCAGCTTATGTCCGCCGAGCTCGAGAAACACCAACGGAAGACGGCGTTCAATTAGCAGTTTGCATCAACCCCGTATATCTGCGATTTACTATAGAATGGTTTTACTGCATATATGCAGCAGGACTTTAGAAACTAAAGACTTCGCCCTCCTGTCTTTCCAAGAAGCAAATCCGAAACGTACTCAGACCCGTTTTCAGGGATTAAAGGAATAAAAAGCTCGAGGTAGTCAAAGGCTGTTATAACAGACCTTGATTTTGACCAAGATTTCGGTCTGTTGTAAAAGGAGTATGTTGTATGTAGGTATAAAGTTGAGTCAATGGTACACGGAGGAAAACCAACCAAACTTCACAAATCAGTATGCTATATTCAAATGTTTGTTGTAATGAGCTTAGACTGTACGCCAAAGCACTTCTTATGTGTTGTGAATGCGAAAGCATGCCCGTGATTCTTCCGCTCCCTTATTTCGTGTGTGGTATACTTGCGTTGACAATCAAGCGCGCGCTCTATAGTCAGATACAACATCAGAAAGACCGGGCGAGGGGGAAACGGGCGCACACGTAAGAAAGCTGGAGTGGAGAGGGGCGACCTTCTTTCCACAACGCCTTTTCTCTTTTTTATAGCTCTCCTCGGCGCGCTGACCTTGGGCGTGGAGCAGTGGAGCCGCTGCCTCGCGGGCACGCAGCGCCATGGGGTGGCAGTCGTTGAAACTGACGTGCAGCGGCCAATGGGAGCCTTGTTTCTCTCAACTATGACGCGCGCCAGCCAATGGGACCGTAGCCAAAGTCCATCAGCTTTACTCCGCTCCTTTGGGATCGGGCAAACTAGGTGATGTTTGGCTAGGCTTTTCACGTGGTTTCATAGCTGGGAGCTGGCTTCACTTGGAGAAAGGAGTTAAAGTGCCGTTTGGCGCAATTTCAAAGCTGATGACGTTGGCTCGCTCCACAGAACAATTAATGCTTTTTCATTAAAAAAAAAAAAAAAGAGAGCATTGTGTCACCTTTTTTGCTGAATAGTGAAAATTTAATTCTGAACAGCTGAATGCCCAAGAAATAATTAATGTTTCATGCATTCATACACATCAGACAAAACATGCATTCTGTTGAATGAAAATGTAGCTCTTCCTAGACAAGATGCCCACAGTGCACCTTTTGTGATGCAGAGCTTTGAAACCTGCTTACACATACACTAGTATTTTCTGGGAATCTGAAAATGATGCAGCAGCTTCTGAATTTTGCCATATTTTTCGTTGCCACATTTGCAAGGATACATCAATTAAGGGCAGCAAGGTTAATCAAACTGGAGTGCAAAACATGATAAAATGAGCTGGTCTTCCGTCTGCCAATACCGATCAGAAAGGCAGCTATGCAAATAAATGCAAATCGAAGGAACGCCACGAAACAGGAGCTCCGGCCAGAGCTGCCACATACTTTCCATCGCATTTCTGAATTTTCAGGAATAAAATTGCATCATTTAAATTAAGAGCAAGTTAAATCTACATACCACACGTGCCTCCATATCTGCCAGAACTTTCCGCTCCCTCTCAATGTCCTCGTCGAGTTGGTCGTCCTCCTGTGGTACTTGTTGCGCTGCTGGTTACAAGCAAACAAGATCAACTGGTGAGGTATGCATACATTACGCCGGCTGGAAGGTGGTTCCGACAAGCATGTTTAGTGCATCTTTCACTCTACATGCCAAATTTCTGCCTGGCGATGCAACAATAGACCAGTCACGAAGGCAGTGCACGAGACAGCTTGTGCCGTCTCGTGCTCTGCTCGCAGCAGGGTAGTAACGTTTGCAAAAAGAAAACAGTTCCCAAAGGTGTTTGGTGACAACGGCGGCATAACAAGACTGGCTGGCAAGACCAGTCTATCGGGCACTCCAAAATTATTGCAACCCTTGTGGGAGTTTCCTAAACTGCCAGTGCTTGAAACAGTGAAACCAACAGGTATCCCCGGAACAATATGAGATGCAATACTTTATCTGGCCTTCTACGAGACCTGCAGCCATCACAAGCTTTAGGTGTGCGTCGTCTCTTGATTTAAAAGGGTGTTCAGAAACAGACCTAAATCTTGCAGTACAGTTGTAGAGAGGACCAAAGATTCTTTAAAAACTGGCAAGTATGCCAAAGAAGAGCGACAAGCTGTTCACACTCATTACATCTGCGAAAGAGCATCTCCGCATCTCACCCGCCTGCCAGACAATAAAGCCAAAAACCCTCACTGTATATGCAAGACACTTAAAGGAGCGGTGCAACGATATTCAATTGGATTGTTTTAAACTTTGCACAAGCTTACTGGCACTAGTGGGACTTGAGGATTATCGCACGCAACGCCACTGGCCAAGAAACTCCTTTGTTGCGGTGTAATTTCAGGGACAAAAGCAATCATTTTCATTCAATCTCTTCTTTGCAAAATTTGACGACGTAACGTAGGGATCGCAGTACACCCTAATGACGATATTTGAATGCGGTTCATAGATTGGGCCCGAGCACTGCGTGGGCACTCGATTTGGGCTCGTGATAATTGCTAGCTCGAGAAGCATTCGGGTAGTCGCCCGCGTCCAATCGCTGCAATGACGACAATAGCCGAGCCATAACAATGTCTGGAACTCAGTGCGTGTCCTGTGCTTTGCTAACCCCAGCGCGTGGCTATGATCAACATTGGCGGCATATAATCGGCTCCATATCACGTGGTCGCTTGTTCTGGCTGCGAGTTGAGGGGGTGAACGCTGCTCGTTTTTCTTCAATTTTTTCTGCGACTTCGATTTCGTGGGGTGAAAAACAAACGCGTGTTCCGTAGGTCATTAATGTCAGGGATTCGTCCTAAGCGAATTTGCGCAAAGTACAAAAATTGTTGCATCGCCCTTTTCAAGAGCCTCTTTAGCCTAAAATACAGGTTAGTTTCGTATAAAAACCTTGCAACAGGTATCAGGACGTCCTCATGGAAGTGTTCACAAAATCTCTGCTCGTCATTTGAAGAATAAAGCATATAAAATGCCTACGGAAATTCCTGTATTGAAACATGTTCAATAAACGCACCGTCTATACATAGCTTCTCTCGCCGTCTGGCCTGTTGGCGGGATGGGGCTTCTGAGAGAAGCTAGACATGTTTAAGGAAGGGAACCGCAGGAGGAGTCACATCACGGTTAATGGCTGTGGTATCCCGTTACGCCACAGTTTTGTGCATAAAAACGCTAGCTCCTCGATTTAATTTCTTGATGAAATCTTAAGTTATTCTGGTATGATAATTTTGCAGCGTAATTTAAAATGTGTAAAAGTGAGCAGGCGCGAGGACCTACATTCACAATATTTAGGCTGGAGCGGCCCTGCACCAACAGTGGCATCAAAATTGTTTGGAAGATGTAGGGGCAATGGGAGTGGGGGGCGAGAGAATTTCCCTTCTGCCCCCAAGATATTCATTAGAAATGCTGAACATGTCTGGAGCGGAGGATGGGGGCATGGACCTCACCCCAGGCTGTAAGATAGACAGGTGGGGAAACGAGAGCCAAATGAGCGACCGGATTGTGTCCCCCTCGATTTTCTCTTTTTCTGTGGCGCCATCTATGTGGAGCACCGCAAACTCTCCCTCCGGGTGGGCGACCGGCTAAACTGCCGGAGATGGTTTCTCGTGGATTTTCAATGGAGGTCTGTCGTGCCCTCGGTCTATTTTGCTCGCTTTCCCATAGAGTTCTATGCAAATCCAATTCAGATTTTTTTCTTCTCGCCGCAGCGCCATCTGTCACAATTCGGCGGTACCCGCAAGCAGACGAGTACACAATCCAGTCACGGCGCTGCGGTAGGCTTCTATCGGCCGTTTCCCCACCTGTCTATCTTACACCCTGCTCCACCCCCTGTTCCAACACCGCTGCTTAGAAGCGTTAAATGGCAATGTACCCGACTAGACATGAGGTATAAGTAAATTGTAACGAAAGTGATCATCTTATACTCTTTTCGTAAAAAGTTGCAAATGCAGAAATTTCTCATTTCAATCTGGGCAACCAAAGACTTGGAGCAATCTAGATCCTAAACTGTCGAGACCGGTTATAACAAAGTCAACGGGAATCGGAAATCACTTCGATATAGCCGCTTCTTTAGTTATATTTGGACTCCATAAAAGTAACACGCAAAAAAAAAAAGAAGAAGATAACACAGGCACATGTTTATCATGCCTGCAAAAAGAGGCTGGGGCTTCCCTGCCATGCACTGTCTGCTAGATCGGGTGTCCGCCTCTCCGAGGGTTCAAAACAATTAAATGCTAGACGCACTTGCGCCAAGTGGCCAGGAGGCGTCCACCATTAAATTTTCAAATGCTCTCAATGGTTTGGGTAGCTCCCTCTCTTAAATCTAGGCTCTCTCCGTGATCACAGTCGGTACTTGTCGTTAGCGCACGCCACGACAGCTTCCCCGCATGCGATGTGAAAAAGCCGCTTCACGAACGAGGAGCGGGGAGCAAACGAAAATGCAGAGGCTACCGCCGCAGCCCTTGCAGTGCACCTGCGGCCCGTTTTGGTTCGAGCCGCTCAACTTCTTTCGTTAAAACAGACACAAATACACTGAAAAAGTGCAAATGGGAACGAGAAAACATTATCGCTTCGCCGTAGCCGCCATTTCGTTATGAACGGTCGTGACAGCACTAACATTCAGCCACAGTTGTCCAAGAATCTGTCGGTGTGCACACACAAAATGGAAAATTCTTTACCGAGCAACTGAAGAAATCTTTCGCAATCCGAGTCGTCAGCATCAGGATTGTCCAGGCAATTGAGCAGCAGGTCCGCAGCGTAATGGCCCTGCACACGAAGGAAACGTCTGCCATATGGCACTACACTGCAGCTGGCTTCGTCAGACTTTAATGCAAGTCCTGTAAAGTTGCATGCAATCTGTTTGTTTTAAAACAGTGTCTAATACCGCTAGAGTAGGGTGGATGAAGAACGACAAAGTAGAATATGTTTGGTGTAGTCAATCTGCCAACACAGTTTCAAGATATCAGTCAATCTGTCGAGCATCGGCATGCTCAAGTTTTACTGCTGGGACATATTTCACAAATGGTTAGAAGCCATTCCTACTACATATTTTGGCAAATTGATGTGCACTGTGCATGTCAGTTCTGACCTTTGGGAAATATGGGCTTCAGCTTCCAAAAAGAAAAGAATATCCACCACTGGTCGAGATGGTGACGTGTCAAATTGAGCGGACTTTCTTCTCGTTACACATTTTGGCGACTGCCCGGGAGCTATACTCTGGGAAATCTTTTCTTAGCTTTTCCGAGGAGGAGGAGAGCTTGCACACAGCTTTAATCAGCACTCAAAATGAGACTGGGCACATGTGCCCATACCTTTGACTGTGTTGCCTAGAAAAGTTGTAAACGAGTATACTAACGGAAATCGCCATAAGAAATAGTACCTAAGAAAAAGTATGCATCTACTCAAATATAAGTCGATCACAAATATAGGTCGATGATTTTATATGAAACTCTCCGAGAATAAAAAAATATGGTAACTCGAAAATAACACAACCTTTCTTTCTTTTTTTTTATAAGAACAGTGGAATGTTTGGGCAAAAGAGTGAAGCAAATCTTTATTTACAGTGCTCTCAGCTAAATCACAATACCATGCCAAAAACTTCACCAACAGAACTTCCGGACATGTCATCGTCATCGGAAGCTTCGTCGACATCCTCACCAATTCGCAAAAATACCTCACTGACACCGTTGCAAAATGGCGACAAGAAACAAAAAAAGATGGAGATGGGCAAAGTGACGAAAGACAAACTATAAAGACGCGAGCATCGCTGCGAGCCACTGCTAGCCGCCGCAAGCATCGGCAATGCCGTGAGGAGCCGCCGTGAGCAACAAGAAGCAAAACCTCTGTATTTTCTTTTGCTGTGCGTCCGCAAGGAGGAAAGGAATGGAGGGGAGGGGGCCAGGTGCGTGGCGCGTCACGTCCCCCTTCCCCCTTGTGCTGCGAGAATCACGCACGAGCGGCGCAGGCCGCGGCAGCCACGAACAGGCGCAAAACCTGACACCCAAGGGATGCGCACGAGCGGCGGCCCACCGGCTGTTGCCGTTTCGGTTGTTTTCGTGCACCAAAAGCTTTCTGAAACAAGAAGTGGCTCAGTATGACGAAGCCGCCGGCTTGGTGACTTGTTAGCTCCGTGGGGTCGCGAAATTCGGTCACGAAAGCAGGTCGAAATTCTCTGATCACGATTGTAGGTCGACCCTTAACTTTTGACAACATTTCAGAAAAAAAAAAAGGTAGACTTATATTCAAATAAATATGGTACTCCCCATATATAATCATTCTAGCCTGGTCAAAACAATAAGCGCAACAAGCAATTTCCGTGAAATTGATTACGAAGTCCCAATAAAAAGTTAATACGGGAACAGTCTCTGTCTTGCACCTTTACAGACATATATACCAATAACCTTGGAACCACATTGTACAGCTTTCACACTATGTGCTGAATAATCATTCCCGCTGGGCTGTGACTAACAGTTCACCTAGATTTGAGTGTCTAGGGGAGCATATGCAGCCGCAGTTTGACAACACCTAATGCCTCTTGGTTATGGCACCACAAAGTGCTACTCCACGTCTGGGACTACTCGCCGGTAAAATGTTTGTGAAACCAAATTTATTTGAAAAGCTCAGAATATCAAATATACAAAAAAAAAAAAAAAACTCATTGAGAGCACAGGGTCCCAACCAGAGGTCACTTCAGTTTCCTTTCTAATGTTGCATTAATCGCAAAAGCAGGATTACCATATACCTCGTCAAGGTTCGTTTCGGAAAAATGATTGTGTATCGGCTCAGCAGTATTTTCTCTGCCTGCGCATTTTTTAGTTTCTGCTCCAGAGTGGTCCGGTGTTTCTGTGTTGGTGCTTCTGCTTCATGCCTTGCTTGGATTGTAGGCTGCCGACAAGCTCACTCCGAAGAGAAAGGAACTACCAGACAAGCGGTGCCGAGCTGCTGCTTATCTGCGTAGCGGCCAAGTGGATTGCACAAGGAAGAACCAAAGCAGTGAGGATGAGTGCAGTCAAAACATAAACTGATATTTCTTCCATTTCCATTGACTTTTTACTTCTATGTCCACACGGGAAATTGATGCGGCCTCGGCTAGCGTTATAACATTAACATTTTTTTTTCTTTTCGAGGACATCAAAATTTGCCCTCGCGTTATATTCGTGGTTGCGTTATATTCACACAAATACGGTAACCCAGTTTCCCTTTCCACATTTGCACCCGTCGATTTCAATATGTACTCTCTTCATTAAGAGAATGACGCTTAGGGGACACAATGTCACCATAGCGACTCAATGATCTTTCTGCGTCAACAGAGTTGATTGGCATTGACAGGTATTTAAGGGCAATTGAAAAAAGTAAATTGAAGCAAGTATTGGAATGAGGTGTTCCATCCCTGCCCATAAAGCCAGTATATCAAAATCTACGCCTGGCTTTTCTTGTTTAGAAAGAAATGGCACTAAAATCCTGTCACTAGATTTGAGTTCTTGGGCAGACTTCAGGTAGACTTGCCATTCAGCAGCTAGGGCTAGTGATTCCGCCCCAAGTCGAGGCACGCTTGCAAACTCCGATCTCTTCTCTGAGAGACACCCGACTTGCAGAAGATGCAAGCACCTCACGCTGTAGAAGAACTTTCAAGTGTCAGATCTCTCCAAATATATTAGCGCTTTCCTAGCCGCTTTGCTCATTGCAGCCTTCGTTTTGTTTGCAATCTGATGGGCCTCGTCGTGTGCAATGTTTTCTTTCGTCAGTTGTGTTTCAAAATCCCTTCTTGTGCAGCTGCTTCCAAATATCCCCAGAGTGTAAATGAAATGTTGTATGCTTTATGACAGGCTACACGATGACCCTCTGCTACTTTCAGCAGGCTTGCAACTTTTTTTCGAAATACTGCAATGAATTGCAAGAAAATCAACGCATGCTGCTTCTCCATACTTTTCATAGGTTTGCCTTAGCAAAGAAGGTTAGTACTCAAAGTAAGCGGAATGCTGTTTAACAGGTTCAATCCACGAATTCCACCTACTTTTGACTAGTGCTGGAGGTGTTTTGGCACATTAAACCCCACACTTTCCAGATGAGGTTTGTAGAAAGCTTTATCTACTTGACAGACAAAAGGCCTTCTTCATACAAGCTACAAATTTGTCCATTAAGGGAAAAGATACCTGCAATGTACTGCCTACAATGTTTACTGTATGGGTTACACATGTAATGTCAACAGCACCCTTGCAAAGTGGCTTTATGCACTCCTTAAAAGACTTCACCATATAAGCAGCCTTATCGCTTACAAGGTCTGTTACGTCCTCAAACTCAATTTCATACCTTGTCGGTGTTCTTGTTAGCGGCCTATCACGGACGAGTTCACTTCATCCACGAATTTAACTTCCACAAGTACAGGTTGTACCAAACTTGCACTTCTGGCTCACTGGATGAACAACACGTTGACAATCGATTTTGATTGGTCATCTGTGGTTTCATCAGTAATTACCAACAGCAAAATATGTTAAAACATAGCTTTCAAATCTGTCTCATGCTTCTCGAACCAGGCACCATCCCGCCATTCCAAACGTGTGTCTGCAGAAACATTCTCAGTTTCAGATTGTCCCCCTTCTCTAGGGATCTATTCGCAGATATCAACGCATCCAGGCATCCGAGCACAATGTTGTGCCTCGCTTTGCCAGAGGTCATTGCGGATTCCAGCATTTGCAATTGACCTTGCTTTCTCAGTGTTTCTGAACCACCAATGCCGTCTGCTGATGGTTCTTTGCCACTTTTTTGCCTGGAAATCTCGTTTCTGCATTTTTAAGATGCCGGTTGCTCTCGAAGTGTTCGTCAATAGCTGACTTCCGCCGATAGTCAACAGCTCTCATGCGCAAGCTCGGTAAAAGAGGACTCCTCCAACTTCGCGTGCCTGTATTCTCGAGCGCGTTCTTCGACTGTTTTTTTGCTTAAATAAGATCCCGAGGGAGCAATCTCAATCACCAACTCAGAAAACATAGACAAACAAAAAAAATGGCGCACTTTCTGTTGCGTCCTATTGTGCAAACGTTGGATGGATAGATGACTACGGCTATGGCTGAGCCCTTCGATTCGGATGGCGGCTGTGCCACCTAGCCATCTCTTTTTTTATTTGATAAGGTTAGAATATAAAATTTAATTTCTTCAACAGTAAAAGGTGATGAGCCAATAGAAACCCTTTTGCTATTAACTAATAAGACAATACTACTTTTCCATCACCTTTTGCCACCTTTCATTTAATCTTTCGTTTTGAGGACGTGTAGCGCCACCTTCTGGAAGCAAGAGTTTCTCTGTACGTTTTTAACATTTTTTTTGCACTTCTGAAAAAAAAAAAACACGTCAATTCTGTGTTTTTTCGCGGAACCGCGGAAAGCTAGGGCCTCTAGCCACTGTTCCCAGAAAGCTTTGTCATATTTAGGCTACCTTCATGCTGTACTCGATTAACTTCCCAGTGCCCAAAACTTTCATACAGCAAATAACATTTCAGTGTTTGCAAATATACAAAAAAATGTCAAAAAAAACAAAAAAAAATTTGTAGCTGAAAATTCAGAATTGCACTCTGCCACGACACAATATTTCAAAATCCTAGAAGAACCGCAATCAGTGGCAATCTTGACCAATAAATAAAGCATTAAAAATGCTGTATTGGCATTTTAGAAAATGAAAAAGATGGCAGTTGCTACAACAAGAGCAGGAAACCCCACTGTGCAAACCACAGTAGCAACTTACCGGGGCATCATCATTTCCAGAGCCTGGCTGCCTTCCAAAAAGATGATCTATGACGTCCACCTCTGCATAGTACTGCCAAACAAATAAAAAACCACATAAAAGACTTGCAGAAAACAAAATGAAAGAAGTTTACAATCCCCTGTAACTCCGAATTAGAGCGTAGCTCTTGAGGAGGAGGAGGAGGAGGAGGGGAAGGTACGGAGAGGAGGCTACGCCCCCTCCTACTCTCCTCCCATTTAGGGGAAAATTTAACGCTAAATTTAGCAGGGAAATTTTCCTGCTAAATTTAGCGTGGAAATCGGGCAAAACTGAAAGACCTAAAATAGAGATTTTCCCTAAGAAGAAAAAGTCAAGCTTCACAGGAAGAAAATCTTTATCTACAGCTGTATTTTGCGTTAACCCGAAAACGGCCCCCACAGAAATGTCTGCAAAACGCCTTCATTCTGAAAAAAAAAAAAAAGAAAAAAAAAAAAAGAAAGACCCAATGTCTTGTTTCCTTCTCCTATTGGTATCAGGGCAATTTCCAAGTGTTTGGCTCATGATTCCTGGAGGTTGGGGAGCAGACGTCCCATTCAACGTAATCCTCGATGGACCCCGATTTCTTGCCAGACAGATGTCACATTAATCCGTGGAAAAAGAATAAACTACAAACCCTACTTATATAACTTGGGAGAGAAAGGTCAAGTTAACTCATTCGCTACCAAAGCCGGCGAATCGTCGGGCGAGCCGTCAAAAGCTATACAGTCGAACCTCGATATAACAAACTTCAATGTAACGAAATTCTCGATTTAACGAAGTATTTTATTTTTCATAATTTCTTGCCCATAGACCCCATATGTATGTTTAGTTTCTATATAACGAAGTTTATTTTGCTGCTATTTCAATATAACGAAGCGCCATTGCCATAGAAGGCAATAAATAAATAGACTCTAAAGAACAACTTCGCAAAAAAATTGTGGTTAAATAAAATTATGCGCAAACGCGAGCGCTTGATAGGTTTCTTCACGGGGACAGGCCTTCCAACGTTCCTAGGCTGCCTGAGGATGCGGCGCCGGCAGCGCCGGCGAGGCATGTGGCAAAGTGCATTCCGTGGGGCTGGCCAGAAAATGCTGAGCAAAAAGTTAACACGGCATAACAGCATCACCACTGACATTCACTGATCATCATAGTCCACTGTACCGCGGGTAGCGCGGGAGCTAACTTCAGCGGGGGAGAGCGACGGATGGCGCGACCGCACGGGCAGTGCCATCTAAAAGAAGACCGAGAAGACTGATTATCGTCTTGCGAGCGTGATGTAAAGCAAAGGCGCAAGCACACTGTGGGTGCAAGGGGGCAAGTAAACTGTGCGGGCAAGAGTGCTGTGTAGGTTAGAAACATTGGCACCGCCTAAACAGCTTTATTTTTCAACCGGGCGGTTCACTCGCGTGCTTGCTGCCATAGGGAAACGTAAAGTTCTTTCTTTGGACGAAAAAGCAAACGTTTTGGACGCCATACTGAAGAAACTGCCGAGATCACAAGCACTCGGGAAGTGCTCGGCGCAATGGACGTACTGAGGATGTACACGGCGTCGCATGGGCAGCAAGATGCCGTGCAAGCGCTCTGGGCGCTCGAACGCCGCATGAAGCCGCTACTACTGTCGAACAAGGCGCAAGCGAAACTTGCGGACTACTTTGCCCCTTAAATAAATGTAATTTTCGGCGAGTTTTCATATCCGTAAAATGTTTCGGAATTTTTTTTTTGCATGCTAAAGCCAAATTTCGATATAGCGAAATTTCAATGTAACAAAATAAATTGCGAATTTTACCAACTTCGTTACATCGAGGTTTAACTGTATTGCCAAAGCTGGCAATTTGCCAGGCTCCATATATTTGTTTAAAAAAAAACGCATCTCCACGTAGTGAATAATGTTGATTGGGGCGAAGCTCTGGTGGTGCTTGTCTGCGTAGACGCTGAGCCGCAGCATGCTGAGCCTTTCGTTCGTTTTCATCCATGTCACGCTGCGGTCAAGTGCTCAAATGCGTATATAACCACGTTCCATACCACACATTATCTTTCTGACATGGATGAAAACGAACGAAAGGCTCGGCATGCTGCGGCTCACCATCTACGCAGACAAGCACCACCAGAGCTTTGTCCCAATCAACATCGTTTACCACGTGCAGATGCGGTTGTTTTTTTTTTTTTTTTTCCCTAAACAAGCAGAGGAGCACAAGCACCCGACGCCGGACGGACATGGCTAGCCCCTAAGGAGCTTTGTCCCTAAAACCTATTAATAGATAGCATGCAATGTTGACTTTGAGTAGTGTAGTTAGATACATTGCCAACAAATAACAAGAGTCATTCTGTTCGCTGTGTTGGTTTGACCTTTTTCCTTGGATGTGTCGTCTTTCCCGCTCGATCGCTGTTTGCTTGGAGAAGATGGCAGCTTGAAGCAGTCGGCGTGGCCTTTCCGACGATGCAATCGTAAATATCCTCTTTGACAGCGATGATGACGGGACGTCTGGTGACAGGAGCCTTCTTCCGACGAAGGGAGCGATTCCGACAGCACTTCCGAGTCAGAATCACGACAAAATAGCCTAGGTTGTGAGACGCCTAAGCAACCGAGAAAGCAGGAATGGACCTGGGCTGATGACAACACTGCTGAAAAAAATTAGTAAAATTCCCTTTTCTGGATCTGCGGGACTCAAGCGGCGAATGAGCGCAGTCCTAGATGACAACTGCTCGCCTCTAGAAACGCTGAATGCGCCCTTTGGAGAAGATGTTTGGGAACTGGTGACGAACTACACAAATGCCTTTGCAAGGAAGGAGCAGCGGATTGAACCAGACCCTGCGTGGTGCCCTACGACACCAGGAGAGATCAAAGTCTACATTGCGTCGTGCATCTTGATAAGCCAAGTGAAGAGAAGTTTCATAAACGCCTACTGGTCACAAAGGATAGATCAGCACCCCATTTCTTCAAATCAGTGAAGCCGAAAAAGCGCTTGTGGGTGCTATTGAGGTACCTTCATTTGTGTAATGTGGAGGCAACAAGGACAGACAACAGGCTTTGTAAGCTGCATCCAATCATCGACCACATGGTGAAAGCATTTGCAAGTGCTTACGGCGATTTCGGGTCGTCAATCGTCGGCAACTTATCTTGCCCGAAAATCTGGCAAGTGTTTGCGTGAACAGTTTCCAGCCGGCACACATCGGTCGAGTGGTGGTTCTCCAGCAAGCACCAGCAACTTTGCAGCGCTTTTTAAGCCCGAGCTCCAACCGGCCGGACAACAGACTGTATCCGGTGTCGTCACCTCCGAAATGGGAGAGGTGGCAAGTGAGAAAAAACGAGCAAAAAACAAAACTGATCTGAAGTCACTTCAGCAGAATATACTCAAGTCAGTACAAGCCATTAGGACAATACCACAAAGAAAATGGAGGACACTGGTGACGGCGGCGACAGCCAATAGCCTCTCGCTAGCAGTGTCTTGAGGGCAAGCGGCGAAGTAAACTGCCACCACCTGGAGTTTCATGTTCAGATCCTGAGGGTCACGTAATGTGCAGCTGGCGCGTTTCTGGTTGCTGGTGCCGCCGGCTTGGTCTTGCTCGGTCTCGCCGGCAATTGACCACCCGAATTCGCCATTACTCTGCCGATATAAACCTTGCCGTGGACGAGAGCTTCATGAAGCTCTGTGGACGCCTGGCGTACGTCCAGTTCAACTTTTCCAAGCGTGCTCGTTTCGGAATCAAATTTTACAAGCTTTGTGAATCTTCCAACGGCTACTGCCTCAACCGCTCCATCCATTTACACTGGCAAGAAGACAAAGTCAGATGGAACCGCTTCAATGCTATGCAGCAAAGCAGTTGTTATCGACATACTTAGACTTCTTTGGTGGTGGACAAACCATTTTAGACAATTGGTACTCCTCACCGTGTCTCTTCCTGGTTCCAACGCTGTCGGATCAGTTAGAACGAACAGAAAAAACATGCCAAAATATCTCAAAGCACTGAAACTCGCCAAGGGTGAATGTAAAACTTCATTCTCACATATGGCATCATGGCTACTATTCAGTGGCAGGATCGAAAGCCTGTTGCCATGCTTTCGACATGCCACGGTGCTGCTGACATCACTGACACTGTAAAAAGATTACACAGGGGAAAGGAACCAGTACTGAAGCCTCTAACCGTGTAAAAGTACAACAGTGGAATGGGAAATGTCGAGCCGCAAGACCGACAGCTTGCCTCATTCCCGATCATGCGTCGCTTCTATGTCCTTGACATGGCTGTGTACAATGCCTACATTCTTTGTGCGCAGAAAATAGGAGGGAAAGCTAAACTGACTGGAAAGTGGACCTCTCCAGAATAATTATTGAGGAGACAGCTTTTCCCGGATGCCGGAAACTAGGTGCCTTGAGGCCGCAGAGCGGGCATACTTTCCCGTAAGATTCTGCCGAATCCCCGTAAAGTAAAACCCATCCAGGCAGTGCCAAGTGCGCAAGGCACAAGGTAAGGAAAGTGAAAGTCGATGGGAGTGCGAGAAGTGCGGTGCAGTGCTGTACATGCCCAAGTGCTTCAAGATGTTCCATACGAGGAAAAATCTGCGAGTGCCTAGTAATTTGTAGACTAACTAACCACTTAAGCATGTAAATAAAGATGTTCTCTTGTTTCTTGCACCGAGTTTTACTGCAAAAGCTTATTACACAAGCAAAACAGCCACGCCTAGAGTGGCCCCGTTTTAGGGGAAAATATGCGCAATACGGACAACCCGGCAGCGTGCGACATGCACGGTAGCCAATGGTTTAACAAAGTAAATTGAAGAGTATTAGAAACAATGTGACAAATTTCCATGAACGGCAAGAAAAGTCCCGTCATCCTGGCCTGTACTATAAGATCAGCAAACGTTTAGGCCTTACTTGACGTCTCTCATAATTTCTCATTATATAAAAAAAAGACTTTAAACTGCCCACACGCTTTATGTAGAAATACATCCTCCCCATGCCCCTTTATTTTGAAAGGGGGATTGACGACCTTTTGTGCCCAAGAAGTTGCTTAGAAATAATATGCTGATTCTGCCTCAAGTTGTTACCCGTGTCAATCTGCCATTTCAATGCTTTAGCAGTAGTAAATATAAACTGAAACCCAAGGTGAGGTCTGGCGCTAAGTGACCTGAAGGGGTCACATAGATTCCGTTGAAAGGCATTCAGCCTTTCTATGGTGACATTCCATCGGGAGCTTGAGAAAACCCTTGTAATGTACACGCCAGTTTGGAGTCACGCCTTGGCCCCAACCTGGCCCGCCCAACTGTCGCTGTTGGATAGATTAGTCTCCTTGGAGACTGGGTTGGCACGTCCCATCCAGCGATTTTTAAGGCGACACTCATTTGACGGCGTGTCACCGAGTTGCAAGAGTAATTTTTTATAACCGGACAGAGCAATAGAACTTTACTACTAATCCGGCAGGGCAGGTTGCCTACATCCCATCTCACATTGCAAACTCTGCGTAGAAATGACTTACACTGACGATGTCGTACAGCCACATGATGACTGCCAACGCTTGGGGGAGGCGGGACCCAATCCCCATGAGCATGCTCTTGGACAGGGTGTAGGGGTATCCCAGGCGCTTGAGGCACTGCAACGCTGCGTCCTCCACTTTGCCGGCTATCGTGAACTTGGGATCCAAGAATGTCACCAAAAACTGCCACAACAGGAAAAAGGAAAAAAATCAGCAGCTTTTTGCGACAGTGTGCAAAGAAGTGGTGGCGATAGTTGCTATTGCGCATAATGATGCCCACTTTCACACACGTCCCTTTATTTACTCGATCACACGAAACGCAGCTTTGTGGTCACTGAAGAAAGTGGGAAAGAGAACACACTGCATACGAGCCAACGTTACTGCCTAAGACTAAATCGAGACCGTTAGGAGTGCTGCTTTACATCCAATAGTAGATGCAAATCGAGTTTTACGGTGAGGAACAGGTGATGGCAATCCCCTGCCAACCATAAAAGACTAAAGTCGACAAAGTCTTAATTGTCTTCGTCTTCCTCATCTTCCGAATTAAAACGTCAGTTGCGAGTAAGCGCTTGTCCTGTGTAGTCTCCCTCTTGTCCTCGTCTTTTGCGCTTTTTATTTTCATAATGCAGCGGGGAGGTCTCTATAACAGCTATCGCTGTTTGTGTTAATTTAGAAACACTGCCAGCCATCACTTGGTAGCCCAGGCATGGGTGAGATACAAAAAGGAAGGCAAAAAGAACACTGAGTAAAAGAGCAACATCTCCAAGGACACCACAAGCAATACGCAAAGAACGATAGGCTATCACAGCGGAAAAAATTTTAAAGATATGAACCCCCCTAAAGGGTTTGTGTCCGGCGCAAGTGCCAATGTTTGTGCTCTAAACCAGTGCATGTGTGCTGCTTGCTACAAAAACTCAAGGAAATATCTAAGTGCTCTTGAACACCTGCCAGTGGCAGCCTTTCCATAATGTGGTAGGAAGCGAGGAGGACGCAGGTAGGAAAAGGACATTCTTGGCACAAAGGTATTGTTTAGAAGTGTTTTTCACCAAAAATGGACAAACATGCCGTAACCAGGGTAGTCCGATTTTCATGTGAGCAAATATAATTGTCACCCAAACAAAAAAGCAAGTGTTATGCATAGTAGTTCATGTGCTGTGCAAGGTGGTGCTTAAAAGATTGGGTTTTCAGAGGAAAACAGACTCCAGGTATCTGAAATGTGCCCAGGCTAATAAAATAACAAATAACCAATCTTATAGGCAACTCCACTCGATTTTTGTCATTCAGCAAACACTGCGGTTGTGTTTAATGTCACCTAGAAAGTGCACGAGTCGCATAGTAAGACGTAATTCCATCTAAATGTTAATTCAAATTGCCAACAAATTTTCACAGGTACCAAGTCAGCAAAACCTGCTGGTAGAGGACATCTGTGATCTCAACTGTGTCAAAGGCGTCACTATTTAAACTCCGCAGATGGTGTCAGCCAGGCACGGAGCCAGGATTTCGTTTCGGGGGGGCCCGCCCATGACAAAATGCTGTATGAGCTAGGGGAAGGGGGGAGAGGAGTTCCCAGCAAAATTGAAGGTTTCGGGGGGGGGGGGCCTGGACTCCATGGGCCCCCCGCCCCCCCCCCCCCCAGGCTACGTGCCCTGCGACATGCTTTGTGTGACACGCATAAGCCCGTGCACAGGACTGTGTCGTGAGCGTGCAACGACAACAGTCTGCTAAGTGTATATCGAGTCACTCCTCATGTATTATATTTCCCCTCGGTCCCGTAACGGCTTGCTTACAAACCTCGGCAGAGTTTCTAAATGACACGCGCCCAAGTTTGTCTGCTTTTTTTGCAGGGGTTGTGGTAACATCAGAATGCCAAGCTCCGATTGGAGGATAGTGGGTAGACCTCAAGGCAGCTTGTCTTGAGGTCTACCCACTATCCTTCAACCAGAGCCAATCAGAGCTCAGTGTTCTGAAGTCACCACACCCCTGCAAATGACGCATAAACTTCACCTTGTAAACCCTGAGATGGGGAACGAATAAAAAAAAAAACTGACAAATACAACAAAATCTCAAACGTGTTTGAGGTTTTGTTGTGTTTGTTCATTTTTTATTCGTTCCCCATCTCAGGGTTTACAAGATGTTGCTTAATTACCAGCTCGCCTGCACTCCATCACTGCTTACAACACAAACTTGCACTCTGCACTTACATAACATGAGCGTGCCATTTCACAACACGGAGTCAACATTGCTGTTACAGCTTCGGTTTAGTGATACTGTCTAAAGCAAAATTGTACGAAAAATATTTTATGTGTTAAAATGAAGCAATGTTACAACATTTTTAGAACTGAGTGGGATTGCACTTTAAATTTGAGTATGAGTTGACCCATTTATGACATAAAGGTGGAAACTGGAACCAGCCCACGAGAAGCCGGAATTCTTTTACGACAATTCTTGATGTGAAAACAAGTATACAATACGTGGCTTGCACCCGACGTCATTTCCGATAACCTCCAAAGAAAAGAAGAAGGAGCAGCTCCCGTACTATCAGGAGCCGCCCGGATTTGCACAGGCGTCGCTATTCTCCTCCCAGAAGATTACAGAAGGTTAATCTGCCACTCAAAATTCTTACAAAAGCAGCTCCCCTCTCCTCCTTTTATATGGTGTTCAAAAGTATGCAATGTGACATCAGTGCACGGAGCCTATATGAAACTACCCAGAACACAACAAAAAAAAAAATTATAAAAAAAACAGCAATAAACGCACATTTGCCCATTGGGCTGTCTACCATTACCTCATTATTACAATTCCCAGTTGCATTCATCAAATCACTCTCAGAGATTCCCATTATTGCTCGCCAACATGGAGATGTCCGAGACATGTTGCTCTACTGCTTGCAGAGTCGGAAGACAATTCTAGTTCCTATCTCGGGCACCTAGTGGCATGTTCTCAATGACTGAGCATCTTACTTAAGTCGCTGGATGCTTATAAAGCAGAGGTCGGGTACTTCACCTACGCACTTTGAATCACTACAAAATACAACAAAGAAAACAAAGCCTAAAAACAGGCAGACTTACTTGAAATATTTGTTCGAAATCCTTGGTGGACATCCTCAGCAGCTGCTTCGAAGTACACTGATTGGCGTACCCGTGAACCTGCAGAAACTGCGAAATACAAAAAATAAAATAAATCTTTTTTTGTGAGGTGCAAGCAGGAATCTTTAAAGGGGCGGTGCAATGATTTTAACACTGAACGAATGTGCAGCTTGTATTTTTTATATTGTTTACTTCCGCATAAGTAAGCGAAAAAGTGCCACCATATCCCAAAATACCTCTATTTCGCTGCGTAATCGCAAAACAAAGAACGCTTTTTCTCCCAACCTGCGGCCACATGGTGGCCGCAAATGGAACTTATGGTGTGACGTCATTCGGAGTGGTTTTTGTAAGTGATAGTGTTAGGCAATTGTAAGCTTGATTTAAGGTTAAGTTTAAAAAATCTCGTTGTTTAGGCATGCAGAAACGCTTCAGAAGCCTAATATTGCCGCTAAAAGGGTATGAATTATTTGTGGCGCCATCTACCGCAAGTCAACAAAACCTGCCGTTGCCGTCATCCGTCGACGCCCGAGGCGCCTACGGCGGCTACACGAGCAACCCGGACGTTTTGTCTTTCCCTCGCTCGACGGAGTGCGTTGGTCGTGGTCCGTAGTATCGTGGTGTCTCGACCTCGATTTCGACTTCCACTGCCCGCCGCGTCGACTGCCCGCCGCACAAGTCCAAGACTTGCAATACGCAAGCATCTTGCGCTCGACGTCGCTCAGGCCGTCCGCCCATGCCGTCCGCCCATGCTGCCATGTTGGTCGGGAATCTGCGGGAGAGCGGGAGAGCGGCGAGCCCGGCGAGCCGGCGAGCGCTGGGGAAACGGAAGCCAGAAGAACCCAACCGGAAACCAACGCCACTCCGAATGACGTCACAGGCGAAGCTGGTGCCGCTTCAATGTTGAGTTGAGGGGTGCCAGAGATATCAATTTCTTTCATTTTTTTTAATGAAAACTAGGGCAAGCAGGAAAGAATAGTTTTCGGACCTTCGTTTTATATGTGGCCGGGATCAATTCCCGCAATTAATTAGCCAAAGCCTGCAAATTGTTGCACCGCCCCTTTAAGAATGCAAAAGCAAAGGGGAGTCCCCGCACAATCCTTGCTGGTTGCAACACTTGGATGGGCCGCCCGAAGTTCGGCAGTCCAACTTTGATATGGCTGTCCTTCACATTTGAGGCACCTAACAGACGAATCTTGCATATTACATCATAGTTAGTGGATCCCACAACCTGTCCCAAGCAGCAAATATGCCAAAGTCACACTAAAGAATGTGGCAAAGCAGCAGGTGTGTGTATCTTGGTACTGCAATGCACCAGCATTCCATTTGTCGAGATGGTGCAAGGACTTGCACCAAGACGTTAGCTAGGTGGTGCTGCGGGGGTCCTCCAGTGATGGCCTTGTGAAAAAGTGCATTATTACATAATGTTGCTCCAGACCAATCCAACACTCACAGAGCTCTCTGGGAGTGTTGATGATGCCAAGTTTAGTTTGTGGGCTGCCAGCAGAATATAAGCCGTGTTAAAATCGTCACACTGTGGAGAAGAAAGCAACTGTTTGTACAAAAACAACAGAAAGAATCTTCAGAACAGTAAGCTACTTGATGCTTTTTCTTACCCTTTTTGGTGGATTTCACAAGCAGGATGCCTCAAGAGAAGAGATGACACCGAGAATATGTACAGCAGTTGTTTGGATAACAACAACCCGTGCCATAGAACCTCAAACCTAGACATCAACGGGAAGCCCGGCTGTCGGAAGAGAACGCCCTGTTCAATTTTCTTGCCTCCTTTGATCTATTGTTAACGAAAAGTGTCTCAAAAGCCAAGAAATGACGCCAAAAATAAAGGGCTCGCCTGAACTTGGCCCGTCAAAACGCAGTGTACTAGACACTCCTTGTAGACACCAAATGTAGGCCTAAAGAACTTTCTGAACTGGGTTAACCTATGGGCACCCTGGGAGCATCCCAAATTTTTGATTACAACTTGCCCTAAATAAAGTGTTCTACCCAATTTAAGCAGTATTTTAGCGTTCCTGAGCCATGCAATAAGGTACAACGATGAGCCAAACAGTCCCCAGTGTGTGCACTAGTGTCAGCAAAGTCCGTAGGCCCCTGCACTGCCTAAAGATGCCAAAGGAAGGAGGAGCTGTTTGGTATAGTCATTCAAAACTGATAGGCATTCCTCAAGATCAAGAAGTTGAACCTCTGGTCTAGGATGCCACTAGAATTTCCAAATCACAATTTTCAATTAAAGATGAGGAATTAGTGCCAACAAATCCAAAATCACGACAACCTGTACTAAGCCAGATGTTTGCTCCACCTGATTAGGATGAAGAAATCTTTCTTGATGCGTGCAAGAGTCGACCGTACCCGTGCTTTCCTTCTCTCAAACTTCGCTCTCAGAACAAAAAGGTATGAATCCTGCCAAATCCAAATAGTGGCCGATTAGGAAAAATAGTTTCCACTAGGTATGTGCACTGAAACCCAATTAACCACCCAAACTTGCATGACAGAACTCTGCATTAAAATTCTTACCTCGGAAAGCTTCGCTGCACACTCTGCCTGGTACGCCTTGTCTGCAAGTGGCCTCTCATCTTTCACACTCTTCTGGGGACCACGACTGAAGCGGCCGCTCGAAGCCGCGCTGACAAAAAAATTGTGAAGGTCAAGGTTTGTGTCTAAGACAAATATTACATCTATAGTATAGGGCAGTGTTTCTCAAATGGGGCCATGGACCCTTCGGGGTCCGCGAAGGCATACTAGGGGTTTGCGAATCACAGCCTTATCAGTCAAGCACAGCAATAAAAGTTCTTTTCTCAGATTGAGAAGAAATGTTCAGATTTTCGGGCGAGTTTTCTCGTGTATATGTCAATAAGAAAAGTCTACTTCACACTAGCCCTTAGTTATATCCATTTATTAACTCACAATCATAATTAACCCATATCTTTCTCTTCCCCTCACCATGAACGGGGTTCTCCATTATCTCCCCCGATCCACAAGGGGTCTTCGAAACATCAATGGCTGAGAACCACGGGTTACAAAGTGTTTGAAATACCCAGGCTCAATCTAAAGTGGACCATAAAAATTGGCACCTGCATCTAGCAATCTAAACTTTTTGTCAAAGGTGCATTTCACAGGTCGGTTTTACCTTGCAAAATTACAAAGCGTAGCTCCCTTTCCGTGAAATATAGGCCAAAAATCTTGCCAGGGTCAACGGAGGACAGCAATGCAAGCAACCAAGTCGCGTGGCGGGGTGTGTTTGGTGCACGTATTGATAGATGGCGCTACCTCCTTATCTGCTCATGACGACCATGGTCTATCAAGATAAACATATTTTTCTAATGTACTTTGGTTTAAAGGAGCTGTGCAACGATTTTAATGTTGGAAAAATTGGCATTTTCTGCTTTTGATATTGTTCACTGTGTCACAAATGGCAGAAAACACACCTTTCATCGAAATGTTGCGATTCCGCCACGTAATAGCAAGGCAAAATTGAGAATATTTCCCGACCTGCAGCCACGAGCGGCGGCCATGAGAAACAAGCAATGTGGCGTCACTTGGGTAGTTGTAAAAAAGATAGCAAGTTGTGCGAATACCTGCTTGATAAAAGGTAACTTTTCTATAAATCTTGTCGTTCCAACATATATATAAATGCGTCAAAACCCTGCTATCATCGACAAAACTTTTATTATACGGAGTTTTAGTGGCGCCATCTATCCTAGGTCCACAAAACCGCGAATAGCCGCCAGAAGCCAGAGGGGGAGGGGGACAGAGCCAGACGGGCAAGGACGGGTATGGCCAGACCCGGATGAGACTTTCCTCCTTTCACCGTATATTTCGCGGGGCGCCCGCCAGCACGTGGTCACGCGGTCGCGAGCGGATGAGTTCTCGTTGCTCGCTGATGGCTCTAAAGAGTGAACTTTTCCGGAACCCCTCGCCAACTCAAGTGACGTCACTGCGCACGTGACCCGGAAGACTATGTACGAGTTGAGAGGCAACAAAAACCTGGATCTTTTTTATTTTTTAAAATAAAAACTAGGGTATCCAGGTAAAATCTGTTTTCTGTAGTTCACTGCAGAAGTGTCAGGCATCAACTTCCACAATTATTTAAGCAAAGCCCTGAAATTGTTGCACAACTCCTTTAAATATAAATGCGGACATTAACAGCAAAACTAGAAGTAACAAAAATTTTAAAAAATGCAGCTGGATAACGACAGCGACAACGGCGCTCTTGCTGCCGATGGATTTCGTCTGCGTGTCGTCTGCTTTCTTTCGCTGGCGGGCTAAACCTTCCAATGCTGCTCCCGATGCCATCTATCAATATGTGCGCCAAAAGCGCCCCACCACTCGACTCTGTCGTCTGTGTTCCCGTTCACCCTGGCAAATTCCTTGGCCCAATTTTTTGCAGAAAGGAAGCTACGCTGTAATTTTGCATGATAAAACTGACCTGTAAAATACAGCAATGATGAAAAGTTTAGATTTTCATGTGTAGGCACCTAATTTTATGGCTTACTTCGGATTGAGTCTGGGTATCTCAGACACCTTTTAGTTTGAAAAGTGCACCAAACGTCTAAAGTGCGCCATTTTCCCATTTAAAGTTTTAAAATAATGCTTAATCTTTATAATAAAATAACAGATAGTTCTGAAACTTTCGCATCTGGTCAAGTTCGACAGCGCTAGGTACATCTGGGCAAATATTGAGCATTCGGTAACACAATCTTTTCTTTTTTCAGTAGAAAACAGAAACAAAAAAGGCTCAAGGTACACCTAAGCACTTCTAATGAGTTGTAAATGCGAAAGCATGCACGCCGCTCTTCCGCTCCCTTCTTTTGCCGACGGTCGAGCGCGCGCGCGCTGTCCTCGGGCGTGGAGCTGTGGAGCTCCACGCCCGAGGACAGTGGACTTTAGCGAATAGTCGGACGCCGCGAAGCGGCGTTTTTGGGTGGACCAAATGGGTTCACATTTTTTCTTATGAGCCGCCGCAGACTGTCGCCGCGAAGCGGCGTAAAGCGCAGCGCGGCGGATGGATTAACGCGCGCCCCCGTTATTCGCTAAAACGTCGATTCGCTCAAATGTCGCTGTTCGCTAAAACGTCATTCGCTCATGTTGTATGGACCCGCTGTGGGCGTTGCCGAGCAATTCCGAAAAACTGCTTGTCACCGTTTTACTGGTTCCCGACGCGCCAGATTTTCGTCAAAAGTAAGCAAACTTAAAACAATGGCTTGCAAGCGTCCCGGTTGGTGCCTCTGTCGTGCAGTCTTGTCCGCGTGCACATGAGGGCAACTTTGGCAGGCTTTCATTTGCATGTGCTTCGTCGCGCGAGCGGAGATGGCTGTTCGATCGAATCAGACACCATGCCACTCCGCTCCGTCGCCAACATGGTTTCCAAAATTGTATGCAAAATACGACAAAAAACAGTCCAGCAGCACGTGCTTTCCTGGCCGGCAGGCGAGGTACAAGCTAAACACACAGAAAAAAGAACCTGAGCGAGTCAGGTCAAAACAAGACATCGCGAGTCAGGGTCAAAAAGCACTTAAGCACTTGGAGCGCTTTGTACAACGACTGAAGCACTGAAGCGTCAACACATGCCCGCGTCTATCGTTGAATTTTTTTTTTTTTTTTTTTTTTTTAAGGCGCAAGACGAGACAAATGAACGACGCGAGCGTGAAAAGAGAGGTGGCGGGAAAAACTATGTAAAACCAGATGGACGATTGATACAGGGTACTTTTTGTTGGGCGGCCGCTTGCGCTACCTAGCTCATGCATGCTCAATTACGGTACTCAGTTTAGTTTCGGTTTTGAAAGAAGACCAAAAGTGGTCTTTCGGCGCAGGCTTGGCGCAGATTACCCATATCTTGGCAAAATGTAGCAGGATGTAGCAGGGTTAGCCCCTTGGCGCAGTTTGGCGCAGCAATCACATCACTGTGCTTTATATAATGAAAGTGCTGGGGCACCCAAGATAGTGCCCCAGGTGAGCACTTTTCACAGCACAATTCGAAGGAGAGCATTTCAATTGGGGTGGAAACACAGAAGAAACTACAGATGGCTTGTTCATGCTAACTGTCATTCTCTGCACACTTGATCTTTTCATGTGAAGGCATAATGAAAAAATCTGCCCAAAAACATTTCCCGAAATTAGGAAACCTGCGCAGCTTGTCTTTCTTCTTGAGATCCAGCCAACTTGTTAAAAACCAATTCGAAAGTGAACTCGTCGAATTGATCAACTGTCTATCAAGGAGGGAAAGGGCAACTTCTCAAAGGGAATAATGTCAAATTCGACGTTCCAGGTGAAGACTGTTTTACTGTTGTAGATTCTTGTTTGTCTTTTTATCTGTCGGCTTATTTCATTTGTTCCCTTTGTACCAGTGGTGTAGCTGGAAGGAAGGGGGGGGGGGGGGGGGGGGGGGGGGGGGGGGCTTTCCCTCGACTGAGTAATGTCAATAAGCAGAGCTGCGACCTAGAAAGAAACCCCCAACTGTACTGTAAAGCAATGACTCTGTGGCATGACAATGCAAGCAAAAGTGGTCCACAAGAAAACATACTGGCAATGCACTGTCACATTGATGCTCCAATCAACCCTGTGGTTTCAGTGCTGTCCTGGCACAAATTAGTAGAGGAACATTTCTGAAAGAACAAAGTTTCGACGTACCTCCCGATGCTGCCACGGTTCCCACGCAAATTTGAGTGCCTACTTCCTGGGCCCGACGCTAGGGAAGCGCCACCGGAGGATCGGAGATCCCCAATAGACGATGTCCGCCTTGGTATCAATGAGCGAGGTGTGAAGGCATTTGCGGAGCTGCTGCGCCTGCCGCGTAGACCAAACCCAGACTTTCGGTTCATCCTGCACTTTCTGCAAAGCAACAGCACGCATACTTTGAAGGAAGAGGCGTCCCCCTACGGCAAGTGACCAAACACTCAAGGTAAGGCAGAAAGTTGGGAGAGTTGGGTGATCATCTTACAAGGTAAAACAGCGCAAAAACAAAAAATTCAACTACAACAAAAAGGCACAGATACAGCACTTTGTCTGTGCCTTTCTTGTTTCTTGTGCCTCAGTTTTTTGCACCATCTTATTTTGTGAGATAAGGCAACAGTATGATTTCATTTGGGTCCCGGGAGTTACTGACAACCAGAAAAATATGTGGCCCAATCGAAAAGAACTAACGAATAATCGACTACCTCAACACACATCCTCTACAGAAGGCAGCGGCATTAACATCACACAAAGTGGAAATGCCAGGTTATGCTGCAACCAAGCAGGTTTCCGAATACTGCAGCTGACAAGGTGGTATCCAAACTAGAAGGCCACAAGTTATAGGCCCTCAATGACAAATGAATTGAGGATGTCAGAAATTCAAGGTACTCGGACAGACCGATCTAACATGGCCTTCATGGTCGTGTCTGCAAGGTGCGACCATAAAGGCGGCATTGTAAACGCCTTTCAGCCATGTGAGGGACCGGAAGAATGTACAATAGAAATGCAACCTAAATATATCAGAAGTGGATATACATAACTTGCATGTCTTGCCATTCGCGGCCATGCCAGTATTACGCGCGCCGCCAGCGTTTGGTGTGCAAGTTTCACTACGCAGAAGTTGTAATTCAAAGAAGCCAGTAAGTATAAATAATTGTCAGTACCCAGCAATGGCGACCCTTGCAAGCTGTAAAGAGGATGTGGACTTAAGAATCAAAACATTTGGCAGGCCTTGGAAAATTTCAATTCCTAACGCATACTTGAAATTGGGCATGCGAACATAGTTTTGCCGAAAGTTCTGTCTATTTTTTTCAGAGCTCAATTCTGAGGTAGTGAAATATTAAAAATTTAAACAAAATCGGAGGCTGTGCAGTTCCTATGCACTAGACCGGACGTTGCACACTGGTGTGTGAGCTTGTTCCCAGGTGGTCATTGTTAATATATTTTGTTAAAAGTATTAACTATCGCGATAATCATGCTCATTGCCAGCCTCTGCTGTTGGGTTTGAGTGTTTTTGCATTCAGCAAGTCACTTGGGAGCAGGCTCATGAACCAATGTGCAGGCGACAAACAAGTTGGTACTCGCAACTTTCACAACCTACAGACGTTTGCAAGCACCCGCACATTGAGAGCTAGTCTGGCCACTGTGGATGGAAAACGCTTTGGGATCACATGTGTGTTTTCAGAGGGAGCTGAGGCCGCGCATCTTAGCAGTCGCTGAATGAAGACGACGAAGTCCCATCGTAAAACTTGCCCCTTTTCGATAAAACTAATTAGTTTCTTTGTAACGTGCTTGGAGTGTGTTCTGGATAGAGGAGCCGGAACAGACGAGGAGGATAGTTCAGGAGAACTTTCTGATGTCGGTTCAGTATTTGGCATTGCAGAGCCCTGTCCCTTGATGATCGGTGAAGGGTCTGGAAGTGAAAACGCACCAGAGGTGTTCGAAGTAGAGGATTTCGTCTCTGAAGATGCCTGGCCTGAAGCACATACATCTTTTTTCCCATCGGGATCTGAGTCGAAAACTGGATAACTTGAAATTCAAGACGATGTTGAACTGCATTGTTCCGAATGTTGGGCTAACCGACTTTGCATGTCGTCGATGTGCCTTCTTTGTATTCTTCCATCTGAAGTTGTTAGTTCAAATGATTGGGAACCAACCTGGTGGAGCACCTTAGCTTCTATCCATTTCGGTTATCCCGTGAATCCCTTAATAAAGACGGCTTGTGAATTGCTGAACTTAGCATCTTCCTTACCCCGCAGATGAATATTGTCCAATGGGCAAGACTGCTGTCGACCAAACATCAACTCTGCTGGTGTTTTCTCAGTTGAGCTCGGCACGGTTCTTGTTTAAGCACCATACAACACCAAGCTGAACAACTGGGAAAACACCAGCAGGGTTGATGTTCGGACCACAACTGTTGGGCCCATTGGACAATATTCATCCGTGGGGTAAGGAAGGAGAAGGCTGCAAATTCAAAAGCCGTCTTCATTAAGGGATTCACGGGACAACCGAAATGGATAGAAGCGAAGGCGCTCTGCCAGGTTGGTTCCCGATCATTTGAAGTCCATCCTCGTCACCAGTGTTAAGTGGTGGTCTTTTTACATATTATTTACAAGAGAAGACTGCAAGCGATAGGTGGTGAGCTAGGATCCCTCCGAACATGTCGCTAGCTTAACCAGGAACAGTGTGTAGTGCGTAGCCAGAGCTGAGGCCGTGCGTCTAGGCTGTTGCTGAATGAAGACGACAAAGTCCCATCGTAACACGGCACTACGGTTTGTTCCTTCCCGAACACCCACCCGAAAACGCCGCTTCGCGGCGTCCGACTATTCGGCAAAGTGTCATTCGGTGAAACGTGGGCGTTCGCTAAAACGGCATTCGATCAAGTGAGTGCCTGCCCACTGTGACAGGCCTGTCAAGCCAGTCACGGTGGCTCGTGAATCCATGAAACCGAACGCAAACATGCGTTTGCATACCCAAACCTCTAAAAACATAACTAAAAAAGAAAAAAAGAGGGGGTTCACACACTTTACGGCAACGAACGCGGCCAACCGCTTGAGGCCGTGCTGGCCGTGAGTGGCACGCGCACAAACAAAACCGCTTTACCGAACTGCTTTGTTCCCCAAGGCCTGCGCTAACTGAATACTAAAAGTAACGAACGGCCTCAACGTGGTCTCAACACTTACCGGGATACTGACAACGCTGCTGAGTTGTTATCTGCTGGTCTGCTACCCACACCGCCCACACCACCTAAACTGGCCAGAAGTGCCTCCGGTGCCTCTTCCAACTTCCAAGGAGGTTTTCCGATTTTTCCCGCCGATGGATGGATGGATGGATGGATGGATGGATATTGGCTGTTCCCTTTATATCGGGCGGTAGCTTGCGCCACCTAGCCTTAAAATTTTTAATTAAGAAATTTGTTTTCCCTTTACCTCTCTGCAACTATCACCGGGCGGGTAGAGTACTTCCCAGGAAGACCTTTGGGGGATCGGGCAAAAAAAAAATTAAACACCGCCCCCCGCCTCCTCCCCCGGGCGAGGGAGTCGCCAATTTTCCTCTGGTCAACCTCGTCGGTGTTCCTCCTTAAACCACACCCACTGGGGGACAGGTGTGGGACTTTGGGCCGGAGCCACGCGGGAGGGAGTCCCAATATTCCTCTGTCCCTCCTGACCCCCAGCTGTGCTAATTGTTCGTCCTTGTTTCATTTTCCCTAGACTGTATCCACCAGTTTTCCAATCTCCTTTTTGTGATGGTAACCCTTTTTTTCTCCATTCCTCCATCCTCGTCCGCAAAACCGAGCGCCCCCGCCAAATCCACCGACCCCTCCAGGAGAGCAGGACGAAGCCTCGTACATTCTAAAACAAGATGTTCCATTGTTTCGTTCTCATTTTGGCAAATGGCACATAATGTATCCATTTTTTCGAATTTAGCCCTATACGTTTTGGTTCTTAAAACCCCCGTTCTAGCCTCAAATAGTAGGGAACTACCCCGTGAATTATCAAAAACCTGTTCTTTTCTTATTTCCTGCTTATGTGACCTGTAAATTGCTAAAGCTGATTTTCCTTGCATCCTACCACTCCACATTTTCCTTTCGGCTTCTTTTACGCCCTTTTTTATCGTTGTGTTCCGCTCAGTCTCCTCCCTAGATGACAGATATTTAAATTTTAGTTTTCTCGTTCGGTTCGTCCATTTTGTATTCAAACTCTTCATGTATAAATACTTGTACACCTTCCTCGCCCATCTCCAACAACGCTCCAGCGTTGTCAGCTGCGGCGCTGCGGGACCACAATCCAATGTTCTAAAAAAAAAAAAAAAGAAAGTTGATAAACAAAATTAGACTTAAAACTTAATATATATATTTAAAAAACTTGCCTTTAGAAAGCTTCCAATTAAATCCCTAGGAATATTGCAGGTTTGTCATTTATATTTGCTGTGCCTCCTTTCCAAAGCTAAACTGGCAACTTTGGAAAACCGAAAGCTCGACACGGGCTTCGGGGGCTTCGGCAGCGCTGAGATCGTACCGGAGCCGCGCCGAGTGGTCTGGGCAAAAGGGCGCGAGCTTTGCGAGGGTGTCATAGCATTTCAGCATGCCGCAAAGCTGTGTAGCCGTTAATTGCACCGAAAGTTACAGTGAAAGTAGCGGGGTGGGTTTTCACAAGTTCCCGGCTGACTCTGAAAGGCGCAGAAGGTGGATAATATCCGTGGATCGAAAATAATTTGGTCTCCTCGCGCGGACGGCCGTTTGTGTGGGAAGCACTTTCTTGGAGGCAGGTGTGGCTTCCATTTCTACCTCCGTCCCAAGGCATGCTTATGTGCAGCGAAACCGTCGTCTGATCGAGACCACCCAGATTTTGTTCCTACGGTGTTCACGCAGAAAGCACCGGCCAAGCGCTTGTCGTTGGCTCACTATACCCGTGTTGGCGGCAACCGGCGTTGCCGGTAACGCGTTACTTTTTTCTGTAATGTAATAAAATACTCGTTACTTCTTCAAGACATTAGCGGGGAACGTACTTAACGCTACTTATTTTAAGTAACGCGTACTACGAGTTACGTTACTCGTTGCATATTATTTTCAAGATTACGCAACAAGCCCTGCCTGAAAAAAAAAAAAAAAAACACTATCTGAAAAAAAGTTTTTTTTTTCGTGCTTTCATACTTTGTCTTACCTTCAGCCCAGACGCAGCCGATGTTACGAGCTGATGGGACCGATCGACAGCGTCGAAAACAATGGTGTCCGTCGTGTTTCTGTACGTTTTCTACTCGCTGAACCAATCATAATCAGAAAAGGCCAAGTGACTCTATCTTTTGACTCTGCTCGGTTGACTCCATGAGCTAGCTCGCAGCTTCGGCTGCGTCTGGACTTAAGTTGAAAGTTGAAACCAATTATAGGCGCCAAGTCATTAATCATTTCACTACATTCCACGCACCATTAAAATTTTGGTTGTATATTTTCCCCATGCAAAAAGTCCCACTTCAGAAAAGCTCCAACGCCCACCACCTTTGTCCCGGTGTCAAAAAGCATATCGCCCCCCCCCCCCCCCCTCAAAAAAAAAAAAAAAAACTATTGTTATTGTTAATTTATAAATAAAAATGTAATGCAAAAGTAACCTGCGTTACTTTTTAACGCTTTCATTTTATTTGAGGTAACGTATAGGTAGGTGACACGTTACTTTTATTTGCAAGCAATAAGTAACGCATTTCGTTACTTTTTTTTTTTTTTTTTTTTTCAGAAATGTTAAAAACGCTGCTCGCTACGCCCGTGATATTAAGCGGAAGAAGACCGGCGGCAGAACGGAAAAAGCATTACCGCTTGTCGTGCTTGCGATCATGGGAGTAAGAAAGATATCGTACCTTGACTTGAAGGACGCTGTATGTATTTAATCAATTAATAAATACACTTCCGCAGACCCACAGTCTGCTCATCCACTGTGCTGATCCCGCCGGCAGCGCGGAGAGCGGCTCGAAGTCCTCGAGTGACCTGTACGCCTGCACTGAAATGGCTTGGCGAAGAAACTAAATAAACGACGACGTGAGCCATCGACGTCAGTGACAGCAACTTCATATCGGAACTCCAGCAGTCCTTGTTTACGGCGTACGAATTGGGACGCCTTTTTCGGAGGTCGATACGGGGCAGCGACATCCGTGACGTCACTGCCGGAAATTTAAAAACAAGCAAAACTTTTTTTTTTTTTTTTTTTTTTTTTTTTTTTTTTTAC